GCAGGAAGTGCTACACCTGCCCCCATACCTCCTCCCTCACCCCCATCCCAGGCCCCAAGAAGACTTTCCACATCAAGCAGATGTTCACCTGCACATCTGCCAATGTGGTATACTGCATCTGCTGTACCCGTTGTGGCTTCCTCTACATCAGGGAAACCAAGCGAAGGCTCGGGGACCGCTTTGCAGAACACCTACGCTCGGTTCACAATAAACAACCGCGAACCATTTCAACTCCCCCTCCCATTCCTCAGACGACATGTCCATCCTGGGCTTCCTGCAGTGCCACAATGATGCCACCCAAAGGTTGCAGGAACAGCAACTCTTATTCCGCTTGGGAACCCTGCAGCCCAATGGTATCAATGTGGATTTCACAAGCTTCAAAATCTCCCCTCCCCCTACCGCATCCCAAAACCAGTCCAGCTCGTCCCCGCCTCCCTAACCTGTCCTTCCTCCCACCTATCCCCTCCTCCCACCTCAAGCCGCATCCCCATCTCCTACCGACCAACCTCATCCTGCCCCCTTGACCTGTCCGTCCTCCCTGGACTGACCTATCCCCTCCCTAACTCCCTACCTACACTCTCCTTTACTGGCTCCATCCCCGCCTCTTTGACCTGTTTGTTTTCTCTCCACCTATCCTCTCCCCTATCCATCTTCTATCCGCCTCCCATTCTCTCCCTATTTATTTCAGAACCCCCTTCCCCTCTCCCTTTTCTGATGAAGGGTCTAGGCCCGAAACGTCAGCCTCTCTGCTCCTATGATGCTGCTTGGCCTGCTGTGTTCATCCAGCCCTACACCTTGTTGTCTCGGATTCTCCAGCATCTGCAGTTCCTACTATCTCTGATCCGCTAGTGTCCTTTTACGGAAGGAAGTCTGCCATCCTTACTTGGTCTGGCCTGTGTGAGACACCATATCCACGACAGACCCCTCTGGGCAATTAGGGGCAATATGTTGGCTTAGGTAGTGAAGCCCGTATCCTGTGAACCAAAAAAAAATTGATACGGATGCCACCCCCATTGTTTAATAAGTACTCTTCTCTGATTCCTTTTGATGCTGAAAGCTGCATTGGTAAACTATCCTGAAGTCTTGATAAACAGAAAACAATCAAATTATGTTAATGTGCTCCACTGCATTGATTATTGGATGGGGCGAGGAGAAAGCAGTGTCTTCAGGCTAACTTTTAATGTAAAATATCAGTGCAGTAAATATTTGACTATACTTTAAAGTGTGGATATAATGTTGTAAAATCAGCCATCAACTAATCAGGTTACCACAGAGGATTTTTAGGAGCTTTTGATTTATTTTTCTTCAACTACTGTCAGATATCTGAATTTGTGCCCTAAGCAATCTGGATTTCAATAGATGCCAGTTTCATGTTCAGTTATAATGTAGACTTCTTAAGCAGTGTGTGTAGCTTCTTAAGTAGCCTCCTAATGTTGCTAATTAAACAGGATGTATGTGACATTTATCAGGGAGTTAAATTTAGTTGTGATGCTGTTATGGTCTCCGACTTGTGCTGGCCTGACTTGTGTGAGACTGGGACTGAGAAAAAGGGAAGATCAGGTGAAAAACTGCAGTTGCAGAGGATGTCACATCTCAGCTGTGAGAGACAGCAAGTGTTAAGTCTTAATTACAAGTGAGGATTGTTACTGGAGAAATTGGCACTGGGTAATTATTGACACTATAAATTATTTTATAATTGCTGGTTTTATTCACATTTAATTCAGTTAAAGATTGTGTTAGTGCAAAACAGTTGGCTTTACAGTACAGTCTGCAAATTTAATTTAGCAGTTCAAAAATTAATTGCACCGTTGTGGGATAGCTTTACGTTGCGTTATGTCTGTAACATTGTTGTTTTTCCAACGTTTTTTTCTTTCCTCAACTCCTCCCACAATGAATTAACCCTGTTCTAATGAAAAGTTCTCAAGATGTGAATGGGATGCAAAAAGGATTTGGATACACTTGGGAGCTGATAGTGTTCTATTCTGCTAGCCCCAAGAAAATGAAGTTGGAAGCTTCATCACTTTCATTTCAGTGAAAGGCTGTGGGCTGACTACTGAATGGATTTATAAACCTAGACTGGCATTTAAATATGGACTTGCTGTGACTGAATGGAGAATAGGAGTAGTTTACAGATGTAAAGAAAATTTGAGGTTAGACTGTTTGCCCCAGTTTGACGAAAGTGAGCCATTCTTAGCTGTGTAATGGTTCTATATACAACCCCAGAGCATGAGCGTCTTGGCAGTCGGGTTCAACTCCTGGACTTGATGCAATTTATCATAGAATCCCTATATCATGGGAATAGGCCGTTTGGCCCATCGAGTCCACGCTGACGCACGTCCCACCCAAACACATCCCCCATCCTATCCCTGTAACCCTGCATTCCCAACATCTAATCCACCTAACCTATATATCCCTGGACTCTATGGGCAATTTAGCACAGCCAATCCACCTGACCTATACATCTTTGGACCATGGGAGGAAACCGGAGCACCCAGAGGAAGCGCACACAGACACTGGGAGAATGTGCAAATTCAAGATGAACACAGATAGCCTTAGGCAACTGGAATTGAACCTGGATCCCTGGTACTGTGAGGCAGCACTGCTAACCACTGAGCCACCATGCCGCCCATGTATTTGGGTGATTGTAAAAATCGCTCCAAGCTGCTTGAAGAAGAATAGGAAGTTTTACCTCCAGTTCCTTCCAGAAGAAACAACCTATAAAACAGTAATGGGGTCTTACTGTACATTGTTTGTGACCTTTAACTACAAAGGTTCCTGCTGAACTGTGGAGTATTGTGGGTAGTTTTGGGTGCCACACTTTAGGAAGGAGAAGAACATGATGGAGCAATGGACAGAAGAGCTTTATGTGAAAGGTTCTGGACTTCAACAACTTCTGCTTATGAAGATAAAGTGAAGAAGTTAGGACAGTTTTCCTTGGTGAGGAGAAAGCTAAGATACTTGATTGTAGTTTCCTAAATCATGAGACATTGGGGCAGAGTGGACACGTTTTCTCAGTTCTAAAAGGATTGAAAATAAGAGGATGCAGTTTTTAAAATAATTTGGAAAATAAGTAAATAGAGTTGACTAAATCTTTTTGTTCAGTGAGCAGCTCTGGGTCTGGAATACGCTTCCAGAAGAACGTTTGAGGCAGGTTCAGTCGAGGCCTTAAAGAGGGTATTGGATGATGATTTCTATTTGTGATGTGCAGGGTTGTGGGGAAAGAGTGGGAGGATAACTCTGAGTCTTGATGGACCGAATGGCTTCGTACAGTGGAACAATTGACATTCCATGACATTTGGTTGAATGTGCAGGTTATTTGGGTATTTTGAAGTTACAAGCTGCTGTATGAGTGCACTTTATTCCCTTCCCTCCATTTTTCATTAAAACGTCAAAAATGCATGCTTAACAGTAAAAGGCGAATTAACATGTATTGTGCTGCCACCTATCTGACATGGCTGTTTGTATGATTCTTGATCGTCTATCCTTGATTGTGCTATGCTGTAGAATCTAAATAGGTTGAGCAACATTATTTGCATCGCTTGCATGTAAAATATCGTAACCTTGCAAAGATGCAAATAATAGAATGATTTGAATTCATATTCTGATCATCATCTTGATTTCTTCTTTCAGTTAAAGAAATTGGGGGTTATGCCACCTGAGCAACCCCTGCCTCAGAAATGCTATCGGATTTATCAGATCATGTGGGCCAACAATGGCGATGCCATCAGCAGGCAGTATGCTGGGACAGCAGCTTTGAAGGTAACACCCAGTTCATTTCATTTCATTGCATTGCAGTTCAGTGACTGGAATGGTTTGCTCGTTTATATGTACTGGGCAGAAGCCAAAATGCTGTTTATACAGTGTTTTAATTGATGTACCACATTATTCTCCCATACACAAGTTCCAAACAATATTAGTGTAGTTTTTATATAGTTAGTATAGAGTGGTTTTCTGATCTGGGTTTGATGTTTGCATGTAACTAATTTAAAATAACTGAGCAGTGAATGGGTGTGAATCTGAGCCGTTTGGAACTACTGAAATTTATAAAATCTGAAAGAACTGCGGATGCAGTAAATCAGTAACTAAAACAGAAGTTGCTGGGAAAGCTCAGCAGGTCTGGCAGCACCAGTGTAATTAGTCTTGAAAATGCCTCCTTTTTGTTTTCAAGTATGAGATTTCCCTGGGGTGCCGATCTTTGAGGATCCCATGTTGAGAGGTGGTCAACTTGATGAGAGTGCCCTTTTCTTATAACTCTTCTGTCTTGGGAAGGAACACTTGTGAGCTGCATCTATTCTGTAAGTTTCAGGGTAGCCTAGTACTGAGCATTGAACAGTAGACAGAATTCTTCTCCTAAGAGTATCTCCTGTGTTTTGGTCTCAAGTCTTTGAAAGCTTGAATTCAGGAGTCTGCTTGCTTCTGATGAGGAGGAAGTGTCGCTGAGCTGTTATGGGGGTGGTAGGGAGGAAGAGGAAATTGTTGCTAACCCTGTTAAAGCTACGCTGCTCACCGTATAAATACCTGAATAGAAAAAGCACAGCAAGTGAGACTGGGACAGACGTGGATGTGACTACTGCCAGGGTGGGTAGGTTGTGTCATTGCTAGTTTTCCAAAATGCTCATTTCCCACCCCACAGCGCCATCATCCTTGTTTTCTCTCTGCTCCTTCATTTTTTGCTGTGTGGAAGAAAATGGAAAAAGCCAAATAAGCAGTTATACTGCACAAATCTAGTTAATCAGTTTGGAGCGTCTTTCACATTATGACCTGCTCCAGGATGTACCAACACGAATTTGGGAGCCAGATGGTGCCTATGACTTTTGCTATTTTCGGAGCAATAAAAAAATAAAATCTGATGCCCTGACCTGAAAGCTGAAACATTTTCAGCTTCGAGACCATCTGTGGTAGTTCTCACCTTTCTCAGCAGAAGTGTGGGTGTATTATTCTTCTTCCTTTTGAATGTTAGGGCGACTTTACAAGAACTGGAGAACGAAAGCTTGCAGGAATGATGAAAGACGGTTATAACTCTGCCAATCGGTATTATCTCAATCGCTTCCGTGATGCATATCGACAAGCTGTCATAGGTAAGAGCACTAAAACTTTACGAACATTAAGAAATCTTGGAGAATCTGTCAGGAAATATATGTGCACCTACACAATTTCATTGGGTTTCTTCCCACATATTCTTTTGTATTTGAAAATAATGAAGCTTTCTTCCTGAAAATTAGCTCTGTTAAACTTCTAACCAATGATGTGTCTCGACTATGAATTAACTGGGTGCAATATTGTAGATTTACATTAAAAACATCACACTAGAGTATTGGGACATCAACATGCAGTGTCCTTCAATCTACCACTTTTTTTATTAGTTAACTTTTTTTTTCTAATCAACCTGTTCAGAGATGTCATTACATATTTTCAACCTGGGTCTCCCGGTCCAGGGATGAGGATACTACTGCACCATAGGAGGGCTACCTACCGCCTGTTGAGTTTCACCAAAATAGAATATGCATGGCAGTTTCTCATTAAAATCCAACAAGGAAGTTGGACAAATTGCAAGAGTCAGATTTGTGCACCTCCAGCTGGTCATAACTTTAAATTGGGTCATATTTTCACCTTGACCTATTATTTGTACTTCGTTCCCTTTTCCTCTCCGCACACACACCAGTCACCAGTTGGGCTAATGGAACTTTCCTGTCTTCTGTTACGGTCTAACTGGAGAATCTGACAGCAGCAAAATACATTGGAAACCTCCATCTGATTTCCATGCACTGAGTTGCTGATTGGCATATCAAACTTCTGCTTGCGGCTACTCTAGATGTCTAGCATATATAATGCTTATTGAGCGTTTCCAGTATCTGGTCATATTGGAAGCTAAGCTACTGAGTGGAAGGCTAAGTGTGTTCAAATTGTGATGGGGGTGGGAGTGGGAATCATTGTTTGGACTAGTGAATGTTTGCAACTCAGTCTGCATTTTTAAGTTAGATTTTCTGTTCCCTTATGTATTCTATCACGTTCTCTGGTGCAAATTTGTAATTTGTCCTGCTCAACGTTGTCTTTGGCCACTTATGTAGATGGTTTACCCACAGAATGATTTTCGTTATGCTTGACAGTGAATACACGTTTGGTCATTTTTTTAGTTTACTGTCAAATGAATGTTGCTTTCCATCCTAGTGGTTATACAGCCATTGAGATTTTTAATATATAAATATGGTATTGTGTTTAAATGTACAGATAAATGGTAATGTTTCCCTTTTGATTAGATCCAATGCAGGGCATCCCAGTGACTGAAGATCTCTATTCCATCTTTAGCAAGGAAAAAGAGCATGAAGCTTTGCAAAAACAGAACCAGAGAAGCCAGCAGGAACAGTTCAGTCTCCTCTTGCAGAATTATATGAAAATGCTATTACCGGACGATGAGAAATTCCATGGAGGCTGGGCTGTGATAGATTGCGATCCCAGGTCTGTAGCTACAAAATTCATCCATCACTGAGAATTTTTATTTCATTCTCCAAAATTAAATATTGATGAATCCCAACCTGTCATACTTGATTAAATGTAGAAAATAGCTGCAACAAAATATAAGCCAATCCCTGTTTATGTGGAACAAGAAAATTGATGGTTGAGCCTGATGTTTGAAGGCTGAATTTTTAATCAAGATTTGAAATGCCTTTTAAATCCGGTGATATTTATTTAATGCTGTCAGTAAACAAGTGTGCATGGAGCAGCAGCAAGGTTGAATTATTGCGTTCCAGAAACATAGTCCAACTGTTAAAAACAGATTTTGAATGCTAGGAATAAATATATTACAAATTTGCTGCAACGAAGAGTTGACTGTTGGAAGAGAAAAGGGCTTTTTTTCTTAAAAACGAAAGTTTATTTCAATAATCCAGGCTTGACGTGCTTACACTGATTCAGAATAAGTATTTGTAATGTTTAGAAATGTGTTTATTCCTCAGCTCTCAAGAAGTAATGCCAGACTTGAAGCATCCACACACTCTCCACAGATGCTGCCAGACCTGAGTTTTTCCAGCATTCTCTGTATTTGTTTGATTTTCAGCATGTGCAGTATTTTGCCTTGCTTGTGTCTCCTTCCTCTGGGTCAAGGGACAAGTCTCTTTCATGATAAATTGCTAATGCTGCTATATTGTCTTCCATGGTGATGCATGTCAATTACAATAATTTTTTTTCTGGTAAATTTGAGAGTTATCATTACAAACAAATTTTTTTCTTTCTTATTCATTCATGGGATGAGGGTGTTGCTGGCTAGGCAGCATTTATTACCTATTCATAATTGCCCAGAGGGCAGTTGAGAGTCAACCACATTGCTGTGGGTCTGGAGTCACGTGTAGGCCAGACCAAGTAAGGATTGCAGGTTCCTTCCCTAAAGGACGTTAGTGAACCAACTGGGTTTTTCTGACAATCAGCAATGGATTCGTGTTCATCATTAGACTCTTAGTTTCAGATCTTTTTTTTTTCTAATTCCAACTCCACCATCTGCTGTGGCAGGATTTGAACCTGGAGTCTCTGCTTAGATCTCTGGATTATCAGTCCAACGATAATACCAGTAGGTCGTTGCCTCCTCTATCGTTACCAATGTTATGGTGCCAGCAACTGATAACATCTTTTTATTTAGCACTTCATTGTGCATGGTCGCTAAATTGAATATTTTGAAGCCGCCATCATTTCATAGAATCATCCAGTACAGAAAAGGTCCTTTGGTCTGCATCACCGAGTACCACTTTCCAGCATTTGGCCCTGAAGCGTTTCCAACACTTAAGCTGTACTGAATGGACATCTGTATTCCGAGACTGGTTTTTCCTTCATAGCACAGCTTTTTATACCAGGTTTATGCTCATGGTTTGAAACCATTTTGCAACGCTGTGTGTATGGAGAAGGGAGAAAGTTAAGATTCTGGGAGGACTGGAAAATTGTCGGAACAAATCCAATGATAGCAATGGACTTGATGTTGTATTGCACTACACTTATTTCCGTTGTGTTTCACCCTTGGAGTTTATAGTTTCAAAAATTGCATGAAATGGTTTCTGGTTCGAGTTGTACAGTTATATTTCCAAGTAAACAAGAGTAAGTGTTGACAAGACGACCCCATTTTGTTGAAGATTTTTGACCTGCATGCTACAGGATAATATGCCAGAATATCAATTTAAAGGTTGGGCGGGTGGTGGTGGTGGTGGAGATGAGAAAAACAACTTTTATACACTGAGCACAGTGCTGCTTGGGACACAGATTGGTAGATGCATTGTCATAGAGGATGCACCAGTTAATGACTGACAGTAAACTGCCAGGCCTATACATGCTCTGCACCTCAGAGCCTAACAAAGTGACACCCACCCATTGGTTCAGTTGTCCAGGTAGTATCTTGACCAACCAGAGACAATTTCTAGTTTAAAATTCAAAGCCTGGAAGTTAACTGTCAGTCATTAATTGGTGCATTCTGCCTGGCATCACCTCTACCAATCTGAGTCCATCTGCCAACTGGTCAGCATTTTCCTCCCATACAGTGCAAACATTGGTTTTCCGTTTAAATTAATATTCTTGCATATTGTCCAGATGAGCGCAAGATACAAAACTTAGGAAAAGTCTTTCTGCTCAGCAGTGCTGTACTACCGAAAGGTGATTTATAGATAATGACAAGACACACAAATTACACTGAATACAGTTAAAACATGAACATTAGCAGCAGGAGCCATTTGCCTTGCCATTCAATATGATAATGACTGACCTCTATCTCGGTGCCATACTCTCTCTCCCCTACACCTCATGATGTCTTTAATGTTTAGAAATCTGTTTGTTTTAAATATATTCAGCAACACATCCTCTGTAGCCTTCTGTGTTAGAGAATTTGACAGGTTCACTGCCCTCTGGTGAATGTTTTCCTTACCTTTGTCGGCCTACCCCATGTCCTGAGACACTGTGACCCTTGTTCTAGAAGCTCCCACCTGCCAACTTGGCCAATGGAAACATCATCCCTGCCTCCACTCTCCCAGCACTATCAGAATTGTGTATGTATCCATGAGGTCCCTTAATTCTTGTAAACTCCAGTGAATACAGGCCTAGTTTATCCAATCTCTCCTCAAACCAACAATCCTGTCTTCCCATGAATCAGGATGCAGAACCTTTGCAGCACTCCCTCTGTGGCAAGTAGATTCTCTCTTCAGTGAGGAAACCAAAATTGTGCACTGGTGTTGTCTCAACAAGGCCCCATACCGCTACAATAAGAAATCCTTGCTCTGTACTCCAATCTTCCTGCTGTGAAGGCCAGCTTACCATTTGCCTTCCCTTAGAATTGGGTATTGCTGCTTACTAGAATTGTTTTTGAAGTTAGCTTGAATCTGTGTAGCTGAAAATTTGGCAATATTTGGATGTTGCTTAGCTTTCAATGATTACTAAAATAACTGACTGGGCGAACACATTTTCAGGTATTATTGCTTTAATAAGGCAGCGAGACAACAATATTGTAATTCCACAGACACTTTCACTTCGAGTTTCTGGTTATGGCTGTGCCATAAGCGTGTGACGTGGTTTGAGTTAAGAGCATCTTCTTGAAAACTTGGTATTAGTTCAACCAGGGTGTGTAATGAAGCCTGTCTAGTTGTCTTACAGCTGGGTTTCACAATCCAGTGAAATGGTGCTTAGTTCCAAGTCCTGTACCTTGGGCAGCCCAGACTATTCTACTGGAGCCACTGGGCCATCTGCCAAAATGGATTTTACTTGAATTGAAACTAATAGATGAAGATCATGTTCACTTAAAGAAAATTTAATGTTCAACAAGCTGTATGAAAGAAATTATGACTTTGTTTCCCACACTGCATAATAATTTATTTTTTATTCCGAATTTGTGCCAAGATAAAGCAGTTTCATTATTGAGTTAAAATAAAATGAAACCGTCGATAAGATTAGTGAAGCACTGCAGCCCTCGGGTAGAGTTTTTTGATTAATTTTTGTCTCACGTACCTCGGTACAGTGAAAAGTTGTTTTGCGTGCAGTACAGGCAGATCATAACATACAAGGTGTATTAGGGTAACAGAACAGAGTGAAGAAGGCTGAAGGGAAGGCGCACAAAGAGCGAGATCAACATTTAAATTTAAAATTAAATAGTCCTCCCAACCTTGAATTTATGTTCACCTCTTGCTCTCAGCTGGCTTTGGAAGAAGTGGTGCTTAACTGTCTTTGCTAATATTTTAAGTTGATAAAAGTTATTGAAATGCCACCTGATGGATTTTGTGGGGCAGTGCTTTGTGGTGTGGTAGCTTTGCCTTTCTGATTGGGAAGATTATAAGAATGAATGAACTTTAGTTGTTTTCTGAGTGTTTCCTGAGGAAATTTTATGTTGTTTGGAACTATCCTTTTTTTCCAGCCTTATCGATGCCACCCACAGAGATGTTGATGTGCTTCTCCTCCTCTCCAACTGTGCCTACTACGTGGCCTAGTAAGTAAATGGCCAGCTTGTTTACAACTGTCAAAGTTAACACATTTCAGTTTGTAGTCAGAAATTGATGAAATCCAGAACTGTCGCTAAGCAGCCCATTAAGCAAGTGTGCGATTGTTCACTTGTGTGTGAAACTGGTTTCAAATGTGACATCGTCTATCCCTCATTTGACAGCTACGACGAAGAGGTTGATAAAGTGAATCAGTATGAAAGAATGAACTTGGAAGATTTGGAGAAGATTGAAATTGGTGAGTGTCTTTCTTCAGGTGTCTAATTTACTTTGGGATGGGCAGACTGTACAGGTAGTTCTCCTAGAACGCGATAGTTGCGTTCTTGCGTGACCTGGTGCTATAGAAAATGCTGTAGAAAATCACCACACTGTACAGTAGAAAGTTCGCGTTATTCAAACACCATCCACTGTTCAATCACATTACAGCTGATTTGCATTAACGGAACGTGTTATAGCAGAACTACCCATACAGGATTTCTTGGCAGTGTTGCAGCTCAAATTCCCGTGAGAGTTTGAATGGCGCCCTACGTTGTTGTTATCATTCTCATCCTTGCTGGGAAATGCAGATTGATCTCCACGTTACATTGCAGTCCATTTCTGTGCCTGCTGTTGCTTGTTGAAAAAGGGGTCTGTGTGTGTGTAAGTGGGTCTTGTACCCAAGATTTGAGATTTTATTTTAAATTCATGCTGTAATGTGTTGCAGTTTTCAGTAATGTTGGGGTAAGACAGTCTTAAGATTTTACCATACATGAAAGATTTAATTTCATGATATCCTTGCAGAAGCTGATAACTTTAAATAAGGTACTTGAATTTGCAGTAGCCCACTTAGAGGAATTACATGAGGAGATTTCAAGTTAGAAGTACTTTCATTATAATGAATCAGCAAAAATCGAATATTGACTGAACACTAATAGGGAACTAATAGTGAACATATTTCCGAAAGATCAGCTTTGTCACAGTAGCCACGACAGTAAATGTGAATTTCAGGAAAAATAAATTCCAAAGCAAAAAAATTGATAGTTTAACTAAGTAATAAAAATGACCATTGAAAAGTCCAAAGCAACAGAGCCACCTTAAAAATCTTTTTTTCTTTTTGCCCTTCTGGTTGAGAAGCAGAGCTAGACAGGAGGTTATTTAGGCTCCATATCCTGATTGTGCTCGGGAAGGTGGTGTAGACAGAGGCCAAGCCAAGGAGTTGGATTGAACAAACATTTGAACTTGATTAGCTTCTGGTGTGGCAAACCCAGAGATGGCCTCAGTGAAATTTGACAAGGGTGGGTGGGGGTGGAGGAATCAGAGGCCTTTCAGCCTGCATTTTCCTTCTCTCCCAGCCTGTTTGTGGTTAGGGTTTTGGGGACGGTGGAGGACGGGGAGTACCTGTCTATCTCAGTCATGTTCTGGTCCACGTCATGCCAGTTGGATAAGCTCGATTTATAAATATTTCAAGAAGTTAAGGCCTTCTAATACACACTTCAACAACAGCATTTAAAACCTCAAAAGACAATTCATTGAAAAATCAAACCAGGTTGCAACTTGAGGGGCAAGATGACTATAAGTACACTACTGGTGACTGGCTACAATAGGAGATGAGACCAAAGTATTCATCAGAAGATGTATTCTTTTTGGTAGAAAACCAAAGCTGGCTGGTTGGTTGGGTCGGTTGGTCCCCTATTAAACTTTCCCAATTGTTAAATGGCACTCTCAAATCCTGTTGTGGTGTGCTGGTTATAATGAATCTCGTGTTGGTTTCAATCTTGGGATAGAGTGGCCATGCTTTCGGGTTTTGGCTAAGAGCCCTGAATAAGGAAGAGTTCAGAGGCATGTTGATCCATCGGACAGGTACAGTAAGAATGAGGGAGGCAAATGTTCTGTTATAAAGGGATAGACAATAAGGAAGTCCTGTGACAGGTATGCAGGGCATTGGTGAAGCCATAGCCAGAGTTTTGTGTACAGTTTTGATCTCTCCTCCAAAAGAAACACCATACTTGGTGTACAGAGCATGCAACAAAGGTATACTTGACTGGTTCCTGGGATGAATGGATTCACCTATGAACATAGCTTAAGTAGATTAGATCTATGATGAAGAGGTGGTCTACATGTAAAATACTTAAGATGCTTGACAGGTTGCTGTTGCATGCTTCTCCTGCCTGGAGAATCTGGAACATAAGGACGTAGTCCCAGGATAAGGGGCTCAGTAACTTGGGACTCAGACAAGAAATAACTTCAATTAACTGTAAATATTTCGAATTCTATCCTTGGAGAGCCATCCGTTAGAATATTCAAGATGGATCAACAGAGTGTTGGTTACTAGGGGATTTAGGAGATGTGCAGAAAGGTAACATTGAGGTAATCGGTCATTATCTTGTTGAATGGTGGAGGAGGCTGGAAGGGCCAGTTGAACTACTCTAGCTCTTAACTCTTTTTTTAATGTCGTTGGCCTTCAGGCACTCAATTTGGGTGCAGCTCTGATTCCTGTCCCCCTGTCAAACACAATGCTTTGACAAACACTGTTAAGCAATCTCTTACTTTCCATGTTCAAGAAGGAAAACAGGTTTGTTAATAATTTCGATTACTTACCAATATGTTTGAGTTGGTTGTGCAAAAGAAAATGGTCATCAGGAAGTGGGAGGATCATGGCTACAAAGTGTGCTCTCCCCTCTGCCCACATCTTGTAGTTTGGCTGCCCGCATTATCCTCTCAGGTTGCTAATCCATGACCAAGAGTGGGGAAAATACTCTCTCAATTTCTCTCTGGTCCTCTTGGAATTGAAACCATCCCAGGAGATCACATGGACTAATTGTTTGTTAGTATAAAGATACTCATTTTCTGATGTGTATCTCTCCCAGTTCCTCTTGAAAGAACATAAGTCTTTACGTATTCTCCCCAGAACGCAACGGTTTCTCTCATCTAGAGAGAAACCATTTTGAACATCTTCTGATGCATACTTTGGTCTCATCTCCTCCTCCTTTTGTAGCCAGTCACTGATTGATAGGGTACTTATAGCCATCTTGCCCCTCAAGTTGCAACCTGGTTTGACTTGTGCAATGAATTGTCTTTTTGTGGATTTAAATACAAGTGTCTGTTAGAAGGCCTTAACTTCTTGCAAGAAGCTTGCTTAGAAAATCACGTGGGCTAAATTTCTTAAATCTCCAAGAGCCCTGTCTGTTCCGTTCCCTTATTTTTGACCAAAAACAAACTCTGTAATATCCTGCTTCTCCATAGCAGGATCTCCTTTCTCCTCACCTTTGAAAAACAGCTGTTCCTTTTCTGAGAGATGCTTAAGAAGTGTTTAGACTCTCGCTTAGCATTTTAATGGTTTAACATTTAAGTTTCTTCCCCTGTGCCAGATTAGGTGGGTATGTCCCCAGGCTAGGGTGTCCATCATAATCTCACCATCCACTTTTTTAAAAGAATATTCTGCTTCACCTTAAGTTTAAGGGGTCATTTTAAATATAGTTATCTTGTGAAGTTCAATGAGCATGAGTTACTGATACAGTGTAGGTAGTAGAAGGGTCCAGACCCAAAACGTCAGCTTTCCTGCTCTTCTGATGCTGCCTGGCCTGCTGTGTTCCTCCAGTTCCACACAGTATTATCTCAGACTCCAGCATCGGCAGTTCCTACTATCTCTGTGTAGGTAGTAGGCTGATTAAAGAAGGCCACCTTCTCCAGGGCTGTTAAAGATGGATGATGAGCACGAGCCCAGCCTCCACAACTCTCTTCTCCGTTGAATGAATAAAAATAGCCTATTGACACAGTTTGTTTTTAGCATTTAACACTTCCTGCTTTTGCCTCAAATATCTCAAAAGCAAGAGTCTAATTTTCAAAAGTTTGATGCTTGTAAAATTCACATTGACTTTGACTTTAAAATAGTTCTAAAATCTGCCTTCATAAATTATAGATGTGCATGACATTACAGCTCAACTTTAATGTTACTTATGAAGTGCAAAACAGATCTGTTACTTTAATTCACAGCATGAGGCATCTGGTGCACTTCAAATTACAAGCTCCATTTCAAAATTACTTTCTTGTCAAACATGTATCCTAAAAGGTTTTGTGTGATTTACAACCGCTCGGTGTGGAATAGTAGCAGGGCCTTGGTCAGTAGCAGAATAAATTTCAGTTTGTATGAGAATTTGAGGAAATTTGATGTGTACCTGCTGTGGCATTTGTTTTGAGTTCCATATTATTCAAACTAGTTTAAATTAGGATAAAATGGGGAATGAGGTCAGAGAAAGGAGCTTGCTTTTATGCTAATTGATCCTTTTTTAAAAAAAGAGAAAAAGAACTGTACATTTTGAAGCTACCTAATTATCACAGCAGTGTTTTGTTAAGTTAGCTGTTTACCTACAGCTATGGACACAATGTATTTTAATTGCCAAAGCCTTTGAGATGGTCGTCCAGAGAAGTATTTCTTTATTGTTGAGTCTAGGGGGAAAATAATTAAAACATAACTGGATTTGAGAAGCAAACAGAGCTTTAAGGGGTAAGAGATTGTGTCTGAGACAGTATTAAGTGGACTGTCATTGCCCTGCATTGGGAAATGGAAGATCAACAGTGGAGTCACGATAAGGAATTGAAGAGGTAATCCAAAGAGTTTAGTTTGGCTCATGACCGTGGGAGAAGGTATTGTTGGTGAATGTTTAGGGAATATGATGGAAGCACAAGAGGTGGAGGAAAATGGAGAGAGAGAATGGAAACAGAGTTGCTTTACGTCCCAATTTCACCAACTTCTGCTCTGGGTGCAGCTTGCAAGCTTGAGCGGCTCCTAGTCCCTGCCATACTGTAAATCCCATCCAGCAGTTTGCCACCCAGCAGATGAGGCAGGAAACCAAACCTCTTTTAGGGTAGAGCAACAGAAGGAAGAGAATAAGCTGGAAGAAATGAGAAGCTGTGAGAGTAACACACACACAACAGCTGGGCAAGAGACTTACTTAGAGTAAACAAGTCAGTCAATCTCTTTATTAAATGTTCAAACAGGTGAACATGGGAAATAGGACCAATAGAGCTTCATCTGCTACTTCATACAATTGTGGCTGTTCTTGGACTTCATCTCTTCTGTGTGCTCCTCCAATCCCCTTCGTTCCCTGAGAGCCTGAAACACACTTCCTACCTTTGATAAATCCAACAATGGATCTTCTACAACCTGCAGGGGTAAATCACTTCACCATTCTTTTTGAGTGAAGTAATTTCCCTCCATCTTGGTCTCTTATCCTGAGACTGTTGCCCTTGTGTTTTTTTTTAAATCCCTGGTCAGGTGGAAGCAATCTGCAAGTCTACCCTGCTAAACCTCCCAGAATCTTGTCTCAATGAGATCACGCCTCATTCTTTTAAATCCAGACAGGCCAAGTTTACACAACCTTTCCATTTTAGGGCAACCTTCTCATCCCAGGGACCAATTTATTGAACCTTTGCTGTATTGCCTTTAATAAAAGTATGTGCTTTAATAAATGTAAAGACAAAACTGCGATCAGTGTTCCAGAGCCACCAAACCTTGCAAAGCATGCAAATTGAAGCAACTATAACGTACTGCAGCATATTAAGTATGATTTATAGAATCCTTGTGTATACTACTTTGTGACCAGTAATGATAAAGCAAATATTGTGATTTTCTATTTTTTTAAATTAAAAGGTCCAGAACCAACTTTCTTCGGGAAGCCCAAGTTCACTTGTATGAGGCTGCACTACAAACACAATGGAACTAGTGGATACTTTCATACACTCAGAGCTGTGATGCGAAACCCTGAGGAGGATGGGAAAGGTAATGCTTTCTACAGTTTCCTTCTGTGATGTGTCGAGATTGTGACCATGTCTGGTTTGATCTGTCGACAACTGGAATGTTGCATCATTGGAGGTGTTCTCTGTTTAGGAACAAACCCAACCTTTTTTTTGTTTCTGATCTCTCATTATATACCATCTGGTAAAGGATCCTTAAAATGTCAGTTCATTTGACAGCTTTATCCAAAAGCTGTTTTTTTTTTTTTTACAAGTTCCAATGGATGTGTCTGCATAGTAAACACATGCAAGACTGATTTATGCTAGCTTGAGACTTGCAGTTGATTTTTTTTACCTGATCACTGGATATATTTTTGACATAGGAGAGGCGATGGCCTAGCAGTATTATGGCCGGACTGTTAATCCAGAGACCCAGGTAATGTTCTGGGGACCTGGGTTCAAATCCAGCGAAATCCACAGGGATTTAAATTCAATGAATTTCTGGAATTAAGATGACCGTGAATCCACTGCTGATTATCGGAAAAACCCATCTGGTTCACGAATGTCCTTTAGGAAGGGAAACTGCCATCCTTACCTGGTCTGGCCTACATGTGACTCCAGACCCACAGAAATGTGGTTGACTCATAACTACCTTCTGGGCATTTAGAGATGTGCAATAAATGCTGCCTAAATGGTAAATTTGTTTACCACTCTTGACTATACTACTACAAAAAACATAGTAATCCACCCTTCTATTTGGTCAGCCTTTCCTTAGTGGGTAGGCAAAAGCTTACCTGGCCGAGAGTTAGGCAACTTATTGGCTTAAGGTAATACATATTGATGTTTTTCTCCCTTCTCACTAGTGTTCTGTCCTCTGAGTACATACCTCATTAGCCATTTATCAGATGTAAACCTCTGAAAGTGTTTAGATTATGTGGTAAAGGGTAGCACAGATAGTCTGCAAGTTGGTTTTGAACAAGCAGGCCTTGGATTAATGTAACTTTCCATTGTAATTAAGAGCAGGGCCTTTGTTTTTAATAGCCCTACTCCACCGTATTCTACCTGTATTCTACAGCCTGCTGAACCTGTCCAAATGTAATGCAGTCCCCTCATCTGGAGAAATACTGACAGGGGTTGGGGTGGAGAGAGAGAGAGAGAGAGAGAGAGAGAGAGACTGGCCCCACCATTCCTGGGCTAGAAGGAGAAAAATCCACCAGAATCCAACTGTTTTGCCAATGTAAAGTGTCCACATGTGTACCCTGGATGAGGGTAAAATTGGACTGTGCTGCATTAAACAGACTGCTAGCATACCATCCAGGTGTAAGTATGCACAGAATAGCAATTAGCTAAGTACCTGAGGATTGGCACCATGAATTGTTTTTGACAATAGAAAATTGAAAACGTTTGGCAACAAGTTTGCAACACGTTGTAAAAAGTTTACTACCTCCCCGAATGACTCATTAAATCATGAGTATTAGCTAAGTTATACGGACCAAGAATATTTCTTACACTTTCCACTCTTTCCCCATGCACGCGTGCCCACAGTGCTTCCACAATGGAAGAACTCCCACACACAAACTCGCATACTGTTAGTGTCTTTCTGCCCAGCCACCTCGAATGGGGCATCGTAGGAAATTTATTTCGGTTACAATTCCAAGATAGTCTGCCATTCTTGCTATCATGGAATGTGAATATAGAAGAGCTTGGACAAGGCACTAATAGGCTATGAACAATATAAATAATACTTTAATGAAACATGAAAAAGTTCATAATTGCATAAGATGTTCTTGTAAACAATACTTCATAGTGTTTTAATTGGTTTGCAGACACCCTTCAGTGCATTGCTGAGATGCTTCAACTTACAAAACAGAGCCTGGGATTAGATGTGTCAATTGTAGAAAAGAAGTTAGAAAGGTGAGTTGGAATTAGGACAGCTTTAATTAGCTTGTTAATATTGTCTGTGTAAACAGGCATGAAGAAAGCAGAAAGCAGCAGAAGAATTTTGTATTCTCAGTTCTGTGGTTGAATATCAGCTGTACTCTGATTTCCAATTCTGCTTTCATAACGACCACTGGGGAAAACTGTTATCTTTAATAAAAAGATATCTGCGAACTTGGAGAATGAAGAATTGTTTCAGTTCTGTGTGATTTTAGAAAATGATGCACTTGTAGCTGCAATGATGGCTTTTCAACTAAATCTCCCTACACTCCTTTATTCCCATTTCCCTACTCTCCTTTCTATTTTCTTCCCATTCTCCTCTTCGTTATTTATTGCTGTTATTTTGATAGCTACATGTAATTTAAAAAAGGTGTATTTTCTTCTGTCAGACGGAAAATATTGTTGTGCTAACTCTGTGCCCCATTGTTCATGATTCTTCAATTCATTGAAGCATACTGCTATTTACCCACTTGAAGCTTTTGTAAAACTGTGAAATTTATTTTTAATCCCTCAGCCTTCACTGTTCCAGTTTCAAGGGTCATTGCTGTGATTTTCCATGTGATACATTCTCATTAATATTTGCTGTTTCTTCTCTTTGCCATATATTTCCTGTAAAGAGACAGTGCCCAGACCTATATGCCAAATTGCTTGGGTGGCCCAGAGCACTCGATTGAGGAATGTTTAAAGCTCTCGATCCCATTTGTTTTTTTTTTTGTTTCCTTCCCCCTTTTGTTCCCACCTCTCGTAAGATGCCTGCTGCAGCACTTTGAGAAGCCTGTCATATTGGCTGTACAGTCTGACTGTTCTTTGTTCATTTTATCCTTTTGTCCAATAAAAGAGACAAGAAGCATGTTTCCTAATATGGCATTGCCAGCAAATTTCAGTATAGTTCTTTTTATCTCAATTTAGATAAACAGACCTTTTTGAGAGATGGGAGAAATATTTATTTAACCCTCCTTTTTTTTTTTTTTGCTTTCCATCCCCTTGCTATCTGTTTTCTTAAGAATGTATTTGTTTTGATGTCACGTGCCTTAACTTTTATTAGTCTCCTCCTTTTTGGCACATCATTAAATGCTTGTTTTCTTTGAAAATTCACAAACACGGCAAGCTCTGTTATGGTCATTTTCACTTCGATAGGGTGACGTTTCTTGGATTGGATCTGCTTTGCGGATCGCTTTTGCGAATGGTGGCTTCTTCTCCTTGTAAGCAGCTAAGGGAGATGGGGGTTCATTTGGAAGTGATACAAATCCAAGTCTCAGCGCGATAACTTGTGTGGTCAAAGCACTGGTCATGCAGTGCCTTTGGAAGTGTAAAGGAATACTTACTCCATCCACTTGGATGGTGGTGGTGTAGTGGTTACCTTGCTGGACGAGCAGTATGGAACCCCAGGGGTCATGGGTATGAATCCCAGCATGGCAGATGATGAATGTAAGTTCATTGATGTCTGGAACGGAGAGTTGGCCTAATGGCAAATGGGTAACCACTGTAGATTGTTATCCAAACAAAAAAAATCTGATTTACTAACATCATTTAGGGAAGGAAATCTGCCGTCTTTACCTGGTTTGGCTGATATGCACTCCAGATCCACAGCAGTGTGGTTGGCTCCCAATTGCAATGAATGCTGGCCCAGCCAGTGATGCCAACTTCTGAATAGGGAACAAATATGGAAAAAAAAAAATCAACACCAAAATCAGCAGCAGATTTTGCAGGGTGGGATAGGGGAGCAGCAGAGTTCCTTCACTCCTCCGTGCAATTACAACTCGCCCAGCAAAACCAGCTAATATTAAAATGGCAGGTGGTAAGCTAACAAAGAAAATGAAATACCTATTTCTCCTTTTCTAAGGAAGTTTTATTTAAGTAGGCAGGTACCCAGATAGCTGTGTTCCGTTTCAATGAGCCCGCAGTTGGGTGTAAGTCTTAAAATAAGGCTGTGCCTATCAGCATTATGATCTAATTCTTTGTTGGAGACTCAAGTGGTCTACAAACTTGCACGTGCTGTTTACAAGGTTCTGTGGCTTCAACCTGGGCTTGCAAAATCTTGGTTTAAATCTTAATTTGCAACCAACATGGGAATTTTTCAATTAATACTTAGCAACAAAAGGCTCCAAGATAACAATCTGTTCTCTCAGGTCATGGACTCCAAGCCCCTGCTTGAGGATTTCAGCACATTGGGCTGATGCTTCAGTGTAGTACTGAGGTAATCAGAGACCTACTTAAAAGCTTTGAAGGAGTGATGACCATTCCCTTCAATAACTTGATTATCCTCAATTGATCAAACATCTTAAAAGAAAATTATTATTTTATACACAGTAGTTTGGGCAATTTAAAACTTGCAGCCACGTTCTAAAACAAAATCTATAATTCTGCTTCTTTAAACTTGGAAGCAAGAATTCTTAAAACTAAGCGTTTTACCTGCATTGGCCCAAGGTGGAGTAATGTTTTCAGAGTTGTCATTTTTTAAAATCCTGCCATGGCTTCTTGCATCACCTCCAGAGCTTCCTGCAGCCCTGTGACCCTTTGAGATCTCTCAGCTCCTCCATTTGAGTCTCTTCCACATACTTGATTTTAATCAACCCACCACCGCAATTGCACTTTCTGTCGCTGAAGCTCTCGAATTCTATCCTGGGAATCTCACTCTTTGTGCTTTCCTCTCAAAAGTGCTCTTCAAACCCACCTCTCTCCAACCGTTCTCGTCAGTGTGGAAGTTCTGGTGTTGGACAGGGGTGGACAAAGTCAGAAGTCACACATTTTAGTCCAACAGATTTATTTGAAATCACAAACTTTTGGAGTGCAGCCCCTTCGTTTAGGGTTCTGACGTGTCACAGCGCAAAACCACAATGACCACCTTGGAAGGCAGACACAGGATACGACTGATAGAGTAGCTTTCGTCGTCCAGTACTTCCCCGGAGCGGAGAAACTACGCCATGTTGTTCGCAGCCTTCATGTCATTGATGAGCATCTCGTCAAGACCTTCTCAACGCCTCCGTTTCTCACCTTCAAACAACCGTCAAACCTTAAACAGGCCATCCTTCGCAGCAAGCTACTCAGCCTTTAGGACAACAACAACCACAATACCACATGATACTGTCATAGCAACCTCTGCAAGACACAGATCATCGACATGAATACTACCATCTCACAAATAGCACCCAACGCGTACACGGCAGATACTCGTGTGACTCGGCCAATGCTGTCTATCTCATACGCTGCAGGCAAGGATGCCCCGAGACTCGGTATATTGGCAAAACCATGCAGACACTACAACAATGGATGAATGGGCACTGCATAACAATTGCCAGACAGGGATGTTTCCTCCCAGTTGGGGAACACTTTAACGGTGAAGGGCATTCAGCCTCCGATCTTTGGGTTAGCGTCCTCCAAGCCAGATGTTGAGATACACAACAACGCAGAATTGCCGAGCAGAGACTGATAGCCAGGTTCTGTACCCATGACGATGACCTTAACTGTGATCTTGGCTTTGTCGCGCTACATGTGACCCCACCATACTGTTCTGTAGCTGTAAAATCTTTCTTACTGTCCTGTTTTTAACATCATCACCTTGATAAATTATGATAGCTCTACCTTAATTAGTCTGTACAGTATTGAATTACTTATTACTTTGGTTAGACCCTCAGCATGCGACTCTTATACTTATTATGTTATTCTAGTCATTTAGTTTGTCTCCAGCTCCACCTTATTTTTAATATTTTTAATAATCTCACTGTCGAACACTCCACTTGCACCAGTTGTATGATCTTTTGATCTGTCTGCTTATAAACTCTGTGTCCATGTGGTCTCCTCTCTCACTATCTAACGAAGGGGCTGTGCTCTGAAAGCTTGTGATTTTAAATAAACCTGTTGGGACTATAACCTGGTGTTGTGACTTCAACCTTTTGGTCAGTTGTCCCATAATCTCCTTGTATGGCTGAGAACCAAATTTGTTTGCTTCTGTCAAGGCCTTGATCTTTTTACCCTGTTGAAAACATGAAGTTTATACATCGTTTCTTTTGATGTAAGTTACTGCTTTCTCCATCATTACTGGCTGATGTTTTGACTGGTTTACATAACTGCTAACACACCAGGAGGGGATATTAAAAAGTTGAAGCATTGGTGAAAATATTTTAACCATGTAGCTAATAGTTTTGAAACAAATAGTTGGAGACTGAGGCAGAAGGGCTCTTACCAGCTGCTACTTTGCACTTAATGATATTACTTAGTTTTCACCTTTGTGTTTATTGCAGTATCCAAGAGAGTGGTGATTTGTGCATGTCTAATTCTCTCCTTCTATAATGTTTTGATCTTCTGGAGCTTTAAAATAAGAAAAGCTGAGTCTGCCTTTAGCAGAGACTTGCGGACCAAGTCTGACTGTCTTTCCTGGATTTGCTTCTTTCCTGGATTTTTTTCCATGTTCACTGCAATCTGCCAGGATTAAAAAAAATCTGTCCTTTTGTTTATTCATTCTGAAAGACCCCCATTGTGGTTTCCAACTATTCCAAAAATCTTCAACTTCCCACCTGGATGGGTTTATCTGAAAGCTTGATCCAGATATTAGTTATTGTCTGAAGAATGTCCTGTCATTAGCCCTTCATTTGAACCTATGTTCCTTTTGCCTTGTTCCCCCTTTTGTTTTAAAAGCACTGTTATGGCCATTTTTTCTTTCAGTCACATAAATCCATGGCTGGGGATGGGCAGCAAAAAAAAGTACACTGAGGTAATAGAGTCTTCAGTGACTGGCAACCACTCACTTTTGAGTGATGTGCCTGTGTTGAAAACCTTTTTCCATCCAATGACATTAAACTGCTGCAATGTTTACCCAGGGATCAGTACTAGTATCAATTATAAAAATAAATGAATGATTTTTTTAATAGCTGTCAGATGACTTTGAAGAAAATCGCTTATAAAGATGGAGTAACCATTGCATACCTTTCAAACTTCTGTAGTGGCTTTCTGCCACCCAATAATAGTGGTGTCATTAAATAGACTAAATAGCCAGTCTCACTGAAAAATTCTCACAAATACAGCAGGAAGTAAAATTCACTCGTTATCTTCACTTTTTCAAATATCTGGATAAAGATTGGGCTTAAGTTGGAAGTTGACATTTCTAAATTTTTTTAAACAAGTTTATATTTAAAATGTAAGGGTTTGTATCATGGGATTTTGCAGGACTACAGAGATTATCAATAATTGTGACTTGGTATGCTGTTTTTAAATCTCATTTACACTGCATTCAACAAGCTGTTTTTTGGGATCTTTAACTAAACATGAAAAGTGGAACATCACCATCTATTCAGATTGGTTTTTCACTTTTGGGGTTTTCACCACACCTCAGGTAGTGGGGAATTACAATTGGCTTTTCACCGGTAAATGTGAATGTAAACCTGTACATCGCAGGAGCCAGAGATTTGTCACTTTCGCAGCTGTAATGATGAATGATGGAGGCTTCTCGGAGAGCAATCGCAGAATCCGGGCAGTCATTTTTAGTTTGGTTACTTGTCAGACTCTTGCTAAAAACCTGATTTTGATGCTTAAAACTGTTTATTCATGTCACTTATCAGCCATTTTTCTAATCTCTAAGTGATGGAAAAAGTCAAATTGTTGCAGTTCTTTGTCTGTTAAACAAAAGTTTTAAGTGTTTTCTGATTGGGGGATAGTGGCGTTGTAAGCATACCGGATGGAATGTTGTAACAGACGCTTCCAGGTTCATTCAAGTACATTTCTAATTTTGAAGTCAGTGTAACATCTGGCAGCAATAACAATGTTGTCTCTGGTGGTTATTCATGGTAATATGGTGATTTAACTGTAAACTTCTGAAAGATTTTTATTTCAAAATGACTGTGAAGTTTGCAATTGGGCATGTAGCCTTTCTTCTACCAGGAGACTGTATAATGGTGTGGGAACTATGCAAGAGTGCCCACCAAGGCAATGGAGCTGACGCAATCGGACAACAATCTAATAAAGATGATTGGTCATCCCTGAATGGTATCATTGTAAAATGATGGCAGTTATATGCCTCGAACTTTTCTTTTTAATCTCTTTCACAGCATATTAGCCCAATTGCCTCTAGAAGTAGTTTATTACTATTTTAGGAGTGGAGGAGGGATTTTTAAATAGTGCAAACTCAGTTTTAAGTTCTGTTTTTTTTTTGTAGGTCAAGTTTTCTAGTTCTGTAATTACAGGTAATTGTTAATCTACATCAGCTACTTCCATCTGTCTGAAATGCTTGAACCCTCTACATGATTCCTTAACGGTAGACCACCACAAGTGTAATTTCTAACATTTATGATATCATTGGAGTTCCACAAAAGAACTTGTTGCTGTCTCTTTGTTCACTGGATGTGGCTAGTAGCATTTATTGCCAATTTCTAATTCCACTTGAGAAGGCTGAGATGTTGAGCTGTTGCCTTTTACAACACTGCAAGTACTATTAGTTGACCAAAAGTTGACAGTCATTAGTCAGGTATTCCATGATTTTCCAACAGTAATAAAGGAACATTTCCAGTTTGGGGTAGTGAGTAATAAGGAGGGGAACTTATGTGTTCCCATGTCTTTTTTACATGATCTGATCCATCTCATTTGAGCACAGCTCTAATAAATGAGCTACACCAGTGTTAAAGGGGAAGGGTTCACCTCAGGTCAGTGTAGAAACAGGTCACCTGGTGGCGGTCTTTCCCAATGAAATGTACTTGGTTGATGAATGCTCCCTGCTTCCAACATGGTTGCTTTCTGTTCAGATTGGAGTCTTGTTTCTCATCTGCCTCAGGAATCCATGAGTTAAATATTTTAGAAGATAGGGAGTCTTAATCAATTTTCTGAAGTCATTCTTGCAGTTTACATGTCAGGCATGACATTGTGTTCGCAGCTTGTATTATTTTGAGTGGTCAGATTGTTGCCGGTCACTGAATTGTCGAAGAAATGTGCCTCCATCTGTACTAATGTCCCGGGTGGGGGGGGAGGGATTTCTTTTCCCAAAGAAATCCATCTCGTTTGCTTGGGACTTCATTATTGTAGGGGCTTCAAGAAACAAACTGTTGGATTTGGTATTGAAATACAATTCTACCTAAATTAAAACAATCTAGTTTGGCACAGCCCACTCAAGCGATGGGAAAGTTGATATACTGACTACTGCAAAAGTTTGCAGTGTAAATTCATTAACGTATTTTTCTGATTGCTAGGTTTCTCTTGGCTTAGAGGTAATATTTTTGAATAAAGTTTTTTTTTTTTTTGACTGTGAAGGGAATGAGTGAATTCTACATTGTCTTGCAGGAAGCACAGTAAACCACATGAAGATATCCTTGGCATCCGATCCAAGAGTCAAGCTTCAAGCAGTACAAGCCTAACTCAAGGCAAGAACTTTCTTATGAACAAGTTTTCTTCTCTCAATCAAAAAGTAAAGCAAACAAAATCCAACGTGAGCATTGGAAGCCTTCGCAAACTTGGCAACTTTCCAAAGCCAGAGATGAAGGTCAATTTCTTAAGACCAAACCTGCGAGTGAATCTGTGGAAGTCTGATAGTAGCTTGGGGAGCTCTGATTCACCAGTGGTAGTCTCTAAAGACGATTCTGATTCTGACATAGAGATCTCTTCCAACTCGGACTCTTTTGCATCAGATGGTTTCCTCTCCAATTCGAAATCAGATGATGAATGTCAGCTGACAGACTCTGAAGATGTAGGGCAGTGCGATTATGTTCTTCCCAGTTGTGGTATTGTTGTTACAGGACCTCGGTCACGATTAGGCAGTCGATCGCAATCTATTAGCAGTTCAGATTTTAGTATTCCAAGTAATCCTTCAGAAATGCACATAGCTCAGTGTGATTCTGAACATATGAGTAAAGACATGATTGATGTCCAGCTTTCTGGCAAAGCACCAAATGCGGATGAAGGTATCCTGGTGGATTTCAACACTCCCACTGATGTTTACTGTCACCAGTTTATCCAAGATGCACAGCACAAAGATCCAGAGGCTCCTGTTGGAAACTATGCTTTCCGTCAGCAACAACTTGAACAAAGCAATACTATCTTGGGCACTAAATCTGAACCAGAGATGGTGGAACCACTTTTATCAAGACCCTCCAAGCTGGATGTACCCTCAGCTACCTCGAATCAGTCGTTACTTTCAATAGAACCTGCTGTGTCATCTGATAACAGTTCAACCTGTGTACTCCATTCACCTGACGTGGAGACTGGTTTACAAGCAACTCCCTCAGCAGCAGATGACTCGGGGAGCAGGGCTGTTTCACCATTTGCTAAGATCCGAAGCTCTATGGTCCAGGTAGCAAGCATGACCCAAGCAGGACTGCTTCAGGGGGTAAACTTTGCAGTGGGAAAAGTTCAGCGCACTCCTGATAGTGGAAACGAAGGGCAGCATCCGCAACTGACCGATATGTTTACACAGTGTCGGACCAGGATAATCCAAATTTAGCTACTGATGGGTCCTTTCCAACCTTGACTAGATTTAATATTTTTAAAGTTATGACCCAAGACCAGGTGCCCTTTAAAATGATCTGTAATTTTGTATGCTGCCTTTAACAAGGCATTTGAGGTTTTTTGATGGTCAGTGTAAATGAATCTGGGTAATCCTGGATCTTTTTGTTTAAGCTACTGCAGCACTAACTACTGAACAGGCCAATGTGCAATATTAATTGTGGTAGTACATATTAGGCCAGGGCCATTTGTAATCCTAGTTAATTGTAATGGGCTAACCCAAAATGTTCCAGATGGCTTTATCTACTGTATAACTAGAGGGGAGTTTTTATGCTACATGTAACGTAAACACATCATGCCACACAACTTAAGAACTTGCAGTTAGTTTGTGTTGCACTGAATTGTATTAGTGGGATAGTGAGGTGTATTTTGGTGTAGTTTGTCTTCTCTGCCGTACAGGGAAACTGCCACAGGGTTGGGGAGAATAGATTTAGACTGAACAAAGCACTCCATAAAGAGGTTTCAATTTATTGATTACTTCTCAATTCTTAGATACCATACGTAATAGCTCCAGTTCAAGGGACTTGAATATCTTGATAACTTCACTGAAGTATTACACCATTGTCTAAATTACCAAGAAAATGAGTATTATTTTCCTTGATTTGTCTCATTACTGAAAAAAAAAGGTCCTAATGAAAGTTTACCCACAGCTAAGTGAAGGGGCTTGAGAAAGCTTGATTTCAATCTGATGTCGCATTAATAGGATCCTATAGCTAGTGCCTGTATTTTCCATAGATGTACTGTAGCTAGATTGTTAACGTGACATAAAAAGCAAGTTCCTGAACATTGTCTTAATTGTGATTTGATATTAGTCTCTGTTGCAGAGAATTTCTAAGCAAATTAAACCATTTATTCCTGTAATAAACTCCTGGTATTATCACTTTTAAATATTTAAATGTGCATATTTATTCATGTTGTTTTGTCACAGTGTGGTTTCTTTGGAATGTTTAAAAACCATTCACATATGCTTCAAAGCAGATATACTCCAATGTATTTTGACATGAGGGATGTACATTATTTTAATAAAAAATAAAGCAAAACATATGTTTGTATTTTTTCCTCTGCACGTGTCAAAGCTAAAATTCATCCATTTATTTAGTGGTCACTGCACGTTTCAACACACTGGCTAAGATGTGCACAACTAGCCTTTGGTGTACCATTGAAGAAGACAAAAGTGGATGAGACGGAGATGTAGGTTTTTTGAAGAAAAAACAAACTACCCAGGATCAATCGAGAGAAATAATTAATGATTCTGGTCAATCATCTTTGATCTGAATTAGTTTAAAGCAAGTTCAGAGAAATGGGGAAAGGGCTGAGAGGATAGAAAAATATGTTATGTCTGGGATAGGGTGCAAGAATGTCAAAAGACACGATGTTGCAAAACAACAGGATGATAATGGGTCAAGTGAAGAAAACAGGTGGTAAAGCAGAATCAGTGACTTGATTACGACTGAGAAACTAAAACAGTCAGATATGACAGTTTGATAGTGAATCTGGAAGCCCATAAAGTGCCATTGAGCTTTGATGGAACACTGCAGGGACTATGGAGGTCAGTAGGAACTGAGTGAAGAATTAAAGTGATACGTGACTAGTAGTTTGGTATTGTGCTTACGAATTGACTTGGTGTTCTGCAAATGTGGTTAATTTACATTTATTTTCCCAATGTGAAGGATACCACACTGCACAACACAAGTTGTACACTAAAACTGGAGTAAAACCGGTAAATCACTGCTCCACCTGGAAGAATTGCTTGGGGCCATGGTTGCACAGGGAGCAAAATGGGGAAGTGTCATTTCCTCCCCTAGTGTCAAGGGGAGTGGTGATTATGCACTGTTGACACAAGGGGAAGATGTTTGGTAGCATCACTGGCAGATGAGGAAAAGGTATCTACCTACAATGGACATAATCCAACCAACTGTTGTTCAGGTCATCCTCGGTTAAAGTAAACAGTGACATATTTTAGAAGTGTTGGTTTACAAGGTTGCATTCTCAGAATAGACGTGCAAAGTTTATTTCAAATCAACTTTTTGCAGCAGTGTGTTAATTTCATAATTAATCTGATAACCTCCACAGTAGAAGTGCCCTCATCAAACTGGAGTACCTTGGGATGGGAGAGCTTTCCAATGGTTGGAGTCATCTTGGCAGAAGGAAAAATGGTTGCACCTATTGGAGGCTGATTGAGAGTCCCAGGATATATTTGAAGTTCTTTCAGCCACAACCTTAGGTTTGACTACCTTTTATTGTTTCATTGATGGTGAATAATTATAGCATAATTGTAAGGTTCTTGGGAATAGTAATGCAGTAGCCTGGACAATGTTCTGGTCACATCAATGCCATTTCCGTTGTAACAGCTGATGGAATTTAATTTGGAATAGAAAGCTAATTCAAGCAATGGTAACTGAAGGGTAAAATACCACCTATACCTGATCCAAAAGAAAAACAACACTGGAGAAACTCTGCTTTCTCTATACAAATGCTGCAAGACCTGCTGGGCAATCCTTTGATGTTGCCTGGCCTGTTGTGTCCCTCCAGCTCCAGACTGTTATCTGACTCCAGCAGTGGTAGTTCTTACTATCTCTGAGACTTACTGAGTTCATGTTTTGAGTCCAGTGACTACCTTCAGAACTGATAGGATCCATGAAAAGCTGTCTTTATCTTGATGCCAGGAGGAAAGGAATGAGTGAGTGGATAAGTGGAGACTGAGTCCAAAGCAAAGGTGGAAACAAGTTAGGCAAAGGGATTGTTGATAGTAAGCCAGAGAGGAAGTGAGGTGTTTGCTTTTAGCACAGCCATTTCCAATCAGTGTCATGAAAGGACCTGGTGGAGGGTGGAAGGTGACAGGCCCACTTTTTGAACACAGCATTAAGTTTTGATTCAACAATGATTCCATACAAGTATCCCTACTGGGAGAAGGCATTATGTTTGAATTACTTTCCTCCAGAGCTCAGGTGACCGATGCCAATTTCAACATCAGCTAATTTGGCAATAAGCAAGCCATGAAGTGAGGATCTTGTGACACGGGGCCATTCAGGTTCTAATCTTTTCAAATTCTGATAAAGACCATTACCACCCCAAAGGAATCAAAGTTTAAAAAAAGTAGCTTTTAATTTGTTTAAGAAACAGTAATTTACAGTAAATATCCCTGATGATCACTGTACAGAAATCTTCAAAGATCACATGGAAAAAAAATCACTTGCCTCACAATTCTTTGCTGAAAATGCAGATTTATCCCACCCTTTAATTACACGTGTTTTTGAGAGAAACCTGGAACTATCCAAAATTTTAACAATGTCGCAGAATTATTTGAGAATAGCAGAAACTTAAAAAAAAAATGGCAGTGCATCTCTTAAGTAACTATGTACCAAAGTCAGCTCAAATGTTTTTTTTTTTAAATTCAGGAACACAGTACTCAAAATCATAATGCAAAAGGCAATCTGTTTCTGTACCAACTCTTCTGAATTAATCAAAATTATTAACAACCGCTCTGAACTCCAAACCAACCAAATCCAGAAGTCAGTATATTTGAAAAGGTAACAAAGACTGACTTTATTCAACCATATTACTTTGTTAAATGGAACACTGGAAACCTTGGGGGCAAAACAATCAAGGAAAGCACCTTGAGCGCAAATGAGAGTTTCTTGAGCAAAGCCATTACAACACAAAAAAACTGCTCTTTTAAAGATGGAATCATTTGGAATTTTCAGTAAACACTTTTGGGGAAAAATGCTCGATACATTAACTTTACCTTGAATTCTCTGGATGTAAGGCTTCAAAGCTTTGGTGTTTACTAAATCTGTTTTGCGCACCATGCCAATTAATCCTCAAATGCAGTAATGCTTTTAAAGTTTCTTGATGTAATTCGTGACTTCACTTACTATTAAATAACAGCTGCTTGCTGAAAAGGGTCAGGAAGGCACAACTGTAATATGCTTTGCTTCAGTACATTGTACAGGTTCCGGAGAAAGGCGCTTAAGGGATATTGTTGACACCGAGAAAAGATGGATGAACACTATCTCTAACTGTACCAGAATACTTAATGCCTAAATTCAGTTCCCCAAAACCAATATTTTCCATTAGGCGAATGTAAAACTGACTCCATGCATATTTTAAAAAAGTTAAATTGGAACTTGGCTGTCATCAGCTGGAAAAGTTCCAATTCAATTGATATTGAAGTTTAGTCCATCTGCTATAAAAATACATTAAATACACAACAGGTTTAAGAGTTGGGAAGCACATCAATGTGAGATGATGAAACTGGTCTCTACAGACCTTTGCATGAAGCCAGTTGTGCTTGATTTACTCTCCTTCACTGTGAGCTGTAAGGGCCCGTTATTATTGAAGTTTGGACATTTCTAATACAGTTCCTAGTTCAAGGTAACCAAGCTACTTAAAATTGCTCCAGATTTACAGTCTTGCACTGGTGAATGGAAGCTGTTCAGGGTTTGAAATAAATCACAATGTTGGGGCAAAGCACAGGAAAATTGAGTATCAATCCTGGGAGTAGTCCATGCTGCCAGTGGGCATAGAAGATAGGTTCTACTGTCCTGCAATGACTTCCTTAACCTGAATTCCTGACAACTGGCATGCTGTATTTTTTTAAGTTAATCTTAACCATCCAATCCACTAATACAGAATGTTTAAGGTACTTTAAAAATGATTTGTTCAGGTGCAACTAATCCTGATCTAGCATATAAACTACAACCAAGTGGTGAAAAATTATACCATGGAGTAGTTCTAACTGATAATGCACTGCCTTTTCTCATAATCCACCAACTCAGATTAAAAGTGAAAAAATGGGTGTATTTATACACCAATTGAATCAAATGGTCAAAATGTTTAAGGCTGCTCCAAAGTTTAAGCCTGTCAGAGCAGGCTTAATTTGAACCAAATGATACAACCTGGCTTATTCATACACAAGTCTACAAACTACTAATTTAACTTCACTTGTTACCAGATGCACATATTCTACATAATTGAATAAGGTCAAAGAATGGACAAAGGGAAGGCCATTTCAGCCCATCTGCCCCATCAGGAGTTCTATCCCACTGCATCAGATGTGCCAAATTGCACGTTTGATTTGCAATTAGTATAAATTGCTGGTCGACACTTCACTGAATTAAGAAACATATTTTCAAATAGATGCAAAAATACAGTTATGGTTTGAAGGCAGCTTCTACGTAATTTAAATACCCAGTAAACTCTGAGCACTAATATCAAAAAAGTGATAAATAAGGGAACGCTTCAGTGTTAGAAGTTAGCCCGTCTGATCAAACAAAAAGTTGTCCATGTTAAATCTGTGATGTAAACAAACTGATTGACTGTTTGTTCCAATGTCCCTGTACAAGTTTAGATCTGGATATTCAGACATTACTAGAACTTCATCCCTGTCTCACAATGAGATTAATCATTTCAAGAAGAGAGAAATAATGTAAGAGCTGTTGAAATCTTCATAGTTCACTTTTTTAAAAAAAAGGCAATTTTTAAACGAGTACAATGTTATGCAAATGTAGTTTACAAAATTACAAAAATAGTTTGTATTTGAGAATTATATGGTAGAGGAATGTAGAAGATATTTTCACAAATGGATGCATTCAACTAAAATGCAGTTCAAGCAACACAAATTAGAAATAAAGTAGAATTTAGATTTAAGAAATTTCTGTAAGAAAATCTGATACAAATGATCTATAAAGAGGGGAAAAACTTGTTTTTCCTCAACCTGATGACAGATGATTTGGCAGGTGGGCTGAGAAGGAATGTAAGTTCTTCAAATTTAAATAAAGCCCACTGATGCATGTTCGATAATCTCTTGAATTTTAAAGACTGTCCATCATTAAGGTTCATTGCCATTTACATGGGTTTGCTGCTGCAGCCTGCTTTTGCGTAGAACCTCCAACTGCTTTGCTCGCTGCCATCTCTCTCGTGATAAGGTCACATGGCCAGCACTCAGTGACACCAACCTTTTAAAGTAAATTAAAGTTAGCTTTTAATGTTCTTAAGCTATTAGTTCAATAATGAAACTTTTTACAATAGGTAAACTGAAAGGATTATTATATCTTGAACACTTACACCAAATTCTTCCCATCCTAATTAACTCTATTGTTAAATTATTTCTCAGTCTGGTTATCTTAATGGGATGAAACATTCAGTTCCTAAGCTAGCAGAAAGCAAATGCAAAATTAAATCAATGCTTAACTGCTAATTCCTCAAAAAATCCAAAAATGTGACCGTTATAAGGGTCTAATTGGGTACTGAAGATACAAGGCCAAACTCACTATGGTAGGTACTAATGCCTTTTTCTTTCCTACAAACTTTACGACGAGCTATACTGTCTTAAAAATATCATCAAGTTATCATCAGGAAAGCTCAAACCAGACAATACAACAATTATTAGAACTGACAATGAAAAAAAGATGGAAACGCTCAGGTTCCAGCGTGAACTGCATTGGAAAGACTGTCGTTCTGAACTTGTTATTTTTCAATTTTCTAACTTATTCCTATAGTCGGTAATACTGGATGTTTGATTTTGTTATTTTTCTAATTTTTTATTTTTTCTTTAAGAACTTGTCCTGAAGAATCTGTACCTAGGTACCTGGCACTTAAGATGGCACCATAAGTGGCAAAGTGTAAACTTTTCACTACTCATTTGAGTACTTGTGACATAAAACTAATGGAATTTAATAAATTTTTTTTAAGCAGAGGTTATTACGGATATGAGCCAATGGCAGATATTTGCAGTTAGGCCACAGATCAGCTATGATTTCATTAAATGATGAAACTGACTGGTGGGGCTGAATGACCTGCTACTGTTCTTAGGTTCCAATGATCTCCTTGTTGTCCTCCTATTACTCAACCTCTCTCAATACCTAAAATCCTACTGCATTATCCCATTCATTTACTCCTTTCTTCATTGACTGACACCCTTACAAAATATTGTGAAGTTAAAATCTTTGGCTTCGTTCCAACGTTTGCATTGCAACTTCCTCCATCCCAGTATCATCACACAAACAATGCAAATGTTTTAACAAAGATAACAAGAAACAGATGTCAAGCCTTTCTGAAACAATGACTGAAAGACAGTGCCCGAGGAACAGAAAGAGAGAAAGGAGCAAGCTCGAAAGAGCAACTGAGTTTCCACAGTCAAACCAAACCTTTACTCATGCTCTCAGTAAGAGTTTGTTCAGAATCTGGCAGTTCTTAAACTGAAACATTACAAGTGAGGAAACAGAAGTGATTAACTGTTTAACGTTTTGTTGTGAAGAGTTCCAAATAAGGAAATAAGCCACTTCATATCTCATCATCACATTATTTACCTTGCGACAACAAGCAACTGATGGAGGTCTTCTGCAGTTATGCTCCGAGGATCACTCTTCCTCATCTCCACAAAATCTTCTTCCACTGCCTACAATATAGCGAATTAAAGACTGAAACATGCAACCACCTACAGAATTTGAAATATAGCCTTCATCAAAAATAAAAGAAACCACCAAACCTTGGTCACATCATCTGATATACTGTAGTCCATCAGTTTCAGTAAACTCAGATATATGCGAAATTTCTTGAGCATGGATGGCACTACAGCTGTTTGCAAGTTAGTCATATACTCGTCAATGTTGGCAGGAATCATCTGAGGCTGTAGATGGACTTGGCAGTCAGACTATAAATCAGAGAAAAAGGTTGTTTACATAAATTTCACAAGACAGCACTGGAATGGACACCAAGAAAAAAAGCAATTTTAAAAATATTCTCATGTCCCACTTTATAACAACCTGCACTTTAATAATTCATAACGTTTTTATTAGCAACATTAATGCACATGATAAAGATATACACTACACATTATGACTGAAAATGATACTTACAACTTCACTCCTTTTGCTAGGTTGTCATATGCATTTGTTTAGTTATGAGGTCACTATATTTCATTCCATGATATTCAAATAGTGCCTTACAAAGCATTAACAGAAAGGAATCAAGAAAAGTGAACTACAGCATTATGAAGTGAAACATAAAGTAAAGAGCTCATAGGCTCAAAGGATGGAATTGGTCTAGGGGTCGATCACCAGAGAGTATAAATAATGGGCAGGAGATTCAGAAGGGATTTGGGGAAAAACATGTTCAGTCTGCAGGTGGCGGGAATCTGGAATGCACGGCCTGGAAAGGTAGGGGATGGAGGGTGGAAACCTTACAACCTTTAAAAGATATTTGGATGAGTATTTCAAATATCATAACATTCAAAGATATGGGACAAGTGCAGGAAATTAGGATTAATGCACTTTTAGGGGTAGTTATGGTGCTGCAGATTCGATGGGCCAAAAGGCCTTTTCTGCACTGTCTAAATCCATGAATTATTGTATCAAGACAAAATACTATGGAAGCTGGAAATATGAAAGAAACAGAGAATGCTGGGAAACTCAGCATCTATTGAGACAGAGACAGAAACAGAATTAACATTTCAAATCTGGTAAGACTCTTCTTCAGAATGATTGTATTGTCTGTCAAGATAAGCTCTGATAGAAGCGATCAGAATAAACAGGTCAGTTTGAGTTTGTCTATAATAGCTGTGCTTATAACGTCACTAACAAAACAAACTTGAAATGGTAGTTGCAATTACAAATGCAATTAAAACATTAAATTGAGAAATTAATCTTTATTTTTAAATTTTTCACATCCCTGTAAATTAGTAAAGAGATTTTTATTAATTACTCAAGATATTTTGAGTCATGAATCACAAAACCTCCAAATTTTATAGGGACCTTGAATCTATCATGCGTCATGTTCAGCCTGCTGGGCTAATTCTAAGATCAAGAGAGTGTTTGAGTCTTTTTAAAGATTAAACTTGCTAAGTGTTTTAGTCCACCAATAAAGGTAAAATGGCTTGTGTAAAGTGAAGCACTTGCAATTAAAAAAGTATTACCAGTATCCTTTAATAAAATCTTCTAAGTTTTGTTATAAAATGGAATATTAATGATTAATGTTGATTCAAAAATTTGGAAGCGCAAAAGACTTTCTTATAAGTCAAACTTAATTAATGGATATGGCATTGATAATAGAATATTAATTGCTGTGAGAAAAAAATCACTGATGCATTACACACAACTTGTTTAGGACAAAAATCAAAAAGAACATGGCATGTGACATATACATGAGGTGTACAAAGAGACACATCCACAGAGTACATGTACCGGTAAGAGAGATCTTCCTTCAGAAGTGATGAGTACATTAATATTGCAAGGGAATTCCATCTGGTGGTAGTTGAAGTCATAGTCCACCTTCTGCCAGGTAATCAAATTACCAAGTGCTGTCACATTTCGGACACCTGTGAAAAATTGGCCATTTACAGTGATCATGTATGACATGGTTTATATGGCAGGTCAATTACTACTGCTTCAGGTTTAGAAATCTAAGAGTGCAAAATAAAGTTAATGTTCTATTATTTTGTAAGAGTAATGCATTCAAGTAACTGCAGCAGTACCTATCAAATTTAAACCAACTCCAACTAAATCAACAAAAGCTTGTACAACGTTCCCAACACTTCCATTCCTGTACTCCCAATCAAGGACAACATACCACTTGCCTTGTTAATTATGGCTCATTTACTAACTACAGACAAAGTCACCCAGCAGCATTTTAGGACATTCATTTCTTTGCCCCCTTTCATTAAAAATCATTATCTAAATATTCAAGAGTAGTAAATAGCTCCAGTTTTATTAATGTCACCACAAACACATTTACCGCAACATAATATATAATATATATGTTTATATAGGGATATGGGTCTGATCCACCAGATGTAACTCAAGTTTAAATGAATAAAATAACTTTTCATAGGTACACATAACCATTCTGCTGTTTCAGTGAAGTGCTGTAGCCTATTAGTGAATTCAATATTTTTAACATTTTGACAAAGGTGCTTAATAGTGCCCTGTGTCTAAAGAAAAGAAAGCTTAATTTCAAAAGTCTTTTCAAAAGGGCTCGAACTGGTACAATTGGCAGAAACTTGAGTTGATGATTAATTCAATCTGGGGGTGTAGTCAGTCTAAAAGACTGCTTTGGGTAGTTTGGCTGCTTTACAGGGAATTGTGTTGACCTCATAACCTTTAATTTTAGTCTGTCCTGTCATTCCACAAAATCTTCTCATCCTCCTGCTCTTGAGTCCTTCCTATACTAGTTCCCAGATTAGGGGGTGTGTAAGTTATTCAGTTGTTCATCAAGGTTCACATCAGCATTTGAAACAACACCACTACTCCAGTTAAACAAAGATAGCTCAGCAAGCACACTGGCGGTAAAATTTGATGCAAACTGTAAAGTTTAGTTCTGACCTGTAGCATCCAGCTGCCCTTGTTCCAATAACGTCTCATCTAACATGAGTGAAGTATTACTGGCCAGCTGCAGTACTCCAGTAACAAGGCGGTTTGCAGTGTAGTCTTTATGTGGGATAAACTGTAGGGTGTTCATGTTGTTGAGAGTCATGGGTAGACAATAGGACTACAAAACACAAAATTAAAATTAATTGGGAATGTAAACAAAGCTCCCATTTGAGTAGACTTGACAGTAAGCAATGACTTAAGAAAAATAAAACAATTCGTTAAATATCATTACCATTTAAAAAAAATACTTTTGTTTTAATTACAAACTATAATGATGTGTGAATTAGAGAAAATAACACACGCTACTATTCTTAGATTTGCACCACACCTAGTTGTGAACATTTCAAACAATTTATTTTGTGATTCTGTCCAGATTATGCCAACATTTTAAAGCAATAAAGACCAGTTCATGGATTTTTCACAGCACAATGGTTCAGATTTAATAGTCAGTGATAGAGACAGTGCTCCCCACTGACCTTAAAGAAAGCTGACCACAAAAATCTAGCGTATCCAGTAGATTTTTGGATTCTCTATTTTCAAATATTAATTTGAATTAGCTGCCAAGCCAAGGTGATTTCAACAGTGATATCATCAAGCAGAGTAATCAGCCAATTACACTGATGTATTCTTACAGACTGCAAACCAGGATACAAAATGCACCAATTATCGTTGACTTGGAAGTTTTACAGAGAGTGAAATGAATGTTTATGACAATCACAAGATCAAGGGAAAAGCTGAAATATCAAAAAAAAACTTTAAAACAAATACCTAATAATGAGGGAAAGGGCAGAGCAAAGCACAAGACAGGCTATTCATGGTTCACTTTCAGGTCTCTTGTGACAGCTGAAGAAGAAAAAAGACTTGGCCAGAGGCAGCAGGTGGTGTGCTTGCTATTTGATATGAAAAATTCCTTAGGTGACTACGGTTTTGGCACAAAAACTTGACCATGGTAGCTGGAGTGGGCACATGAAGGAACCCAGGGCACAAGATTCAGTTGAGCAGTGGCACTTAATAGATCAGTGCAGCTGGGGAAGTGGGACTCTGCGAAGCCCAAGAGCAGTAATTGCCCCATGCAGATGTAGTTCAACAAAAGCCCCAGAGCAGTGCTAGCTCACAGAAGCTGCAGAAACATCTGTTCAGCACAGCTGTGAATTGGGAAATTGAAGAAAGCTCAGGAGCAACAATCAGCTCAGTGAAGCTGAAGTAAATGTTTGCTCCATGATATTGAGAGGTGAGTAGTCAGGCACAGCTGGAGAACTGGGATTGTGCCAGTGATTAGATGCTGGAATGCAGCCTTGTAAACCCAATGGGATAGAGCCTCAGGTGAATTCATTGACTAGCTGGCCATGTTAAGCCATGGGACATTCTGAGTTTGAGTCCTGTTGCCTGAAGATTCATTGCTGGTAGAAGCAGCAGAAGGGCCTCCTGCAGGCCAAACCAGAGATGCTGTTGAAGGAAAAGCATAAGCTAAATCCTCAAATAAAAGGAACTGAAATCCCTGCTGAGGAAGACAGAGTTTGAAAAGCTTTTTTTGTGACTCTAGGTGATCATTGATGTCTGGGTGGTCTGCTGAGAAAATGTGTGGGATCTGTCTTGGTCATATTTGCCACTCAGTCTGCAAGATATAGTGTATATTTGACCATAATTTGCTGAATAAGTCATACTTAAAAACAAGTTAATTCTGAATGTTAGAATACAGGATAGATTCTTTGCTTTGTTGATTTTAGCATAGTAAAGGGCAGGGGGAGGAGTTCTGAGATATGAGGAAAGACTGGATACACTGGAGCTATTTTCCTTGCAACAGTGAAGGCTGAGAGGGGACCTGATAGACATGCATAAGATTATGAGAGGCCAAAACAGGGTGAGTAGGGAGACACTCTTCTTCATTAGTGTAAGTCAATTACCAGGGAGCACAGATTTAAGGTATGACGTAGAAGGCTGAGGAGAAATGGGAACTGCTTCGGTGTTTGAAATAAGTTACAATGAGAAGGCACAGTATAAGGATATTAAGTATAAAACCTGGGAGTCGTCCATGCTGCCACTGGGTATAGAAGATGCAGAAAAATTCCAATGTCCTGTAATAACTTCCCCAACCTGAACTACTGACAATTGGCATACTGTAACTTGTTTAGGTAAGATTGAAATAGCTGTTTAAAAAGTAGTACAGAATGGAACCATAGAGTACAGAAAAAAGGCACTCTAACAGTGATTTGCTTGGGTGCAAGTAAACCTGATATAGCACATAAACCAGTAAGCCACAAGTAAGTGGGAAAAAATTATACCATGGGACCGATTCTTTAACTGATTTTAACTGAGCCTATTTGTCTGATAATACATTCAGGACAGTGGAGTCTGGACTCACCAAAAGGGAGGTGACTCAAACTCTTATAACAGTGGTATTTACATATTCAATTGTGTTGCAACAAACTCCAGCACCGAGCCAAAAACTGGAAGATCAGATTAATGTCGTCAGATCTTGTTTGACTGGTGCAGCAATGATGGGTGAATGGCCTCACTTTTGAGCTGTACGTGGTTGGCAGTCTACATTTGAACAAGGACATTCAGAGTGGCTGCCAGTTTCACAGCAGTAATGACTGAACAATTTTGAAATCATTACCATCATCATTCCCCCTCTTTAAACATGTTTTACAGCTTGTTTGTCCAGGATAGGCCAAGCACTGACTCATAGCTTTTGGTGCCTAAAGTTGTCTTCTCATTTAAAATTAAATAAACAAAAGTAATTTTTAGATGTCCCAATAACTGTTTTCCAAGTGGTAAAGTAGATAGAGAAAATCCATCCTCTCTGGCATCAGACAACAGGTCACAACTTTAATATCATTGATAAGATCATTGAAGGGAAGATGAGAATTTTTAGCCCTCCTTTATTATCATCTGGAACACTACCTGGCAAGGGTAGAAGCTCTTTCCATAAACAGTTTTAGAAAGGCACTTTGTCAGGTTTTTGAGGATGAGGAACATACAGGACCACACAGACAAAGCAGAAATGTGAGACTGTCAAAGAGCTATTTCAGACACAACAGGCTTAGTGGTCTCTTTCTATATTCTATGGTTCCATGAGTCAATGTTGAATCATGCTAATTTATCCTTCCTTTACAAAACTAAACAAACATTGCAGCTTGGAACAGGAATATTGGCAAACAGATATCAATTGATGGTCCAACTGTAAGTTGTTAGCATTATTTATTTATTTAAAATAGTCAATTTTTCCTCAACAGAAGAAAGCAGGAGTACACTGTTGTACTGGTGGTGTATATTCTCAAGCTAATTTGAGCAGGAACATGTATTACACTATGATATTCAAAGCCCAAGGCTCTTAGTCACATTAGTGTATTATTACATGCTTTCTAGTCTTATTCTTAACCATTTCCAAACATTTTTGTGAGGCATCCAGAATGCCACAAAGCATGATAACCCCTCAAATCCATTTCCCTGGCTGCATGTCTTCCTCATATACATGGACCCTGATAATTTTCACTGCTAGTGCAGAAATATGTACATTCTGAAATTCTACGTGGCCCAAATAACCGCGGTAAACAACTTTAGCAAAAAAGTGACAATCATCAGAGTTGAATAATCATAATCCCCAATCTCCAAATGATTTAACCACTTACTGAGGGAACCAGCTGCTGAATGGTCCTGTGAAGACACTTTGTGTACGAGTTATTCCTTGGGCAGCCACTGAGATTTACTGTGAATTTACCCAGTGGTAGAATGTCACGCCGCGAGTATCTGCAACATTGATCAAAACAGGTTATTAAGTACTTCATCAGCTGCTTCATTTTATTAGAATGGATGAAAAGCTCAGAGAATATAGAATTAACTTTTCTACATCCAATTGTAACTCTTAACCACATAATCTAATGCATAAAATTGGCACATCTACAAAAGCTTCCTGCCTGCATTCTTGTATTTAATTGCCATCTTCCTCTCCATCCCCCATTTTCTCACTTCTTGCATCCAGTTAAGATGGAATCCTCTTATGCAAGTCATGTTACGTTTACACATTCTAGTCCCTGGGCGGTTTGTGAAGTGAATATCTCTGGTGCACCATGACCTTGAATTCGTGTTCTATGTAAGTTTTAAAATATGTTCTTTCAACTTTATTTCCCCCCACACCGCAGCTGCATACTCCACAGAAGTTAGACGCTAGTGGTCCACATTCTGCACTCTAGTACTAGCTTCTTGTTGTCCTCTCACAAATCTAGCAAAAATAAGGTATCTAGTTTTGACGACATTCACAACCCAACATCCTAACCATTTCTGCTTTGTGTTTATTCCTGACAGCTACTGCGAAGGCAACAAATAAAACATTATTTTGCTGTTAGCACCATCCTCAGAGTTTTGCCCACTTGATCCAAAGCAGGAAATACAAAACATTTCACCCTTTTGTTTGTTTCAGCCGTGCATATCAACTCCCTGTCAAATAGATTTTCAAAAAAGGAATCCAGAAAGCAAATCTTCATTTGAGTAGCATAGGTGGTAGTTAGGAAGTTTTGGGTAGCGTTCCCTGCCTCTGAGCTAAAAGCCCTAGATTCGAGCCCCACTCCAGGATTTAATGGCCAAGGAAGGTGAGTTCATACACAGTCAAACAGGTTGAGCATCAACTTGAAAATCCTCTTAATGTACACCAATGACAGGGTGCAAGAGCAGGGGAGAATCCTGATCAGCCACATAATGCAAAGAAGGTGTACAGAAGTAAATGTTGCCACAGCAACACAAAGTCCTTGTTTGGCCAGTTGGCTGAATAGCTGGTGTGGATCAGAAAGGTGCCAACAGCACAGCCAGAATGGAAACTGAACACTAAGTTTGATTCAGCACCTGCCTGCTTGTCTTATCTGGGGTGGAGATTGCAGTACTGTGTCTTGATCTGCTTTTGGCCAGAGAACTCTAAAGGGACAAAAAAGAAGGCGGAAGCTCTCATGGCACTGCACATTCAACTTCAATCTTCCCAAAAAACCCAAGATTGCACATTCCACAGGAACAATAAGAAAAGTTAACCAAACAAGCAATAGGGGGTCACACTAACGTAAAAGTAGTTGGTTGTCTTCAACTGGATTCAACTAAAAGTACATTTTAAGAAGTCTTAATTAGTGGGCAAAACGTGAGATACAGCTGAAGAACCTCAGACAAAACCCCATCCCCCACCAACTAAATGTACCTCAATTAGAAGCAGTGCCACTCAGCGATGCAAACATATTATGCTGTAAAGAAAAGATTGCTTAATAACACAGAAAATTGAGATTCTGAACACTGGAAAGATTAAGTTTGTACTTGAACTGATCTTTTTTACTGACAGAACAAACTATAACCTTGAGAATGAAAAATGTCATTGCTGCTATCTTCATTCGTATACTGTTTATAAACATGGCAGATTGCAGAAATTACATTAAAAAGGATGAAACACTTTAATTCAGAAACACATCTCCATGTAGTTACAAAACCTCATTTCCTTTGCTCAAAATAACACGTACACCAATTCAAAAAAGGTTATAATTTCACCAGAATGTGATATTGAATACATTCTTTGGAGCAAGTACTGGCCACAGAGTCTTTTTAATGTCATCAACAAAGAGTATGTTACAGTCTGATTTCAATGCAAGTACTAGATTATGCATATATCAAAAATGATGGAAATAAAGATGATATGATTACACTGTAGATATGAAGTGCAGTAGAAGATATTCAGCAGCTAGACCGTCTCCCAGTAACATGTGTGTCAGGAATCCAAGCAACTCTGCTCTGACTGTTGACAAATCAGGCAGAATGTTTGTGATAGCTATAATAAATCAGAAAAAGATACTTAAGGATAATATTAATTTCAACTAAGTAAGTAATTGCAAATTATTTTTAGGCAGTTACGATTTGTGCCTTTCCCAACAAAAACAATTACAACAGACCAAAATCACTTCTAACTTGAGAGCATTCTAATAAAATCCATTTGTTGCATCTACGGTTTACAGCTGCTCAGGACTTGCGTCTCAGATAGAAATATTTATCACACTACCATCCTTTATTAAGTGTCCGCACATGATCCACAACTAAGCCTCTGAAACTCACATACACAGGCACCACAAATACATTTAAAAAAAACACAGCTAAATGGAGACTCACAATCCTTGCTTTCTTTATCCTTCAGGGTGGTAGGAAGGAAAGGATTGACATGCTGCAGTTTGAGAGTCACAATGGCATGAAGCCTTGGAACCAATGAAGGTGGAGGACTGTGAACACGCTGCTCCTCCATAGTGTCCATACATTCAATTGGATCCAGAATTGATGAACCATCCTTCGTACTATATCAATGAAAAGGAGAAAAAACTCATACTAACTATCACTTCAGTGGTAATAAGTCTGCAAATTTCAGATTTGACTTCCTTCTAGTTTCAGCATGTATGAAAGAAAATCTATATTTAAAAAAAAACAAGCTCTTTCATATCCTACTTTTCACTGCACTGAACTACTCCATGAGAAAATCTCAATGAGAAATGTAGGTTTTAAGTTCAGATTGGAACCGAAGAATTCAAACTGTCATTTCATAACCAATCAACACAACATGCAATGGAAAACGGAAATATTCAGCAGGCCTGGTTGCATTAACGTTAAACATAGGCTGTTAAAATTTTACTTCAGTCACTCTGCAAAGTAACTGACAAATGGGGCTGAATGCTCAAATCAAATATCAACATTGTATCGTATTTAATTTTTAGGACTCGGTTGTCACTATCATTTATTGCCCATCCCTAGTTGCTATTGAAAAGGTGGTGATGAGCCGTTTTCTTGAAATGCTGCAGTCCATAAGCTGTAGGTAGACTCACAATGCCATTAGGGAGGAAATTCCAGGACTCTGTGACCTGACAATACTGAAGAAATGGCAGTTAATTCCCAAGTCAGGATGGTGAGTGGCTTGGAGGGGAGCTTGCTGAAGATGGTGTTCCCATGTGTCTGCTGCCCCTGTCCTTCGAGATGGAAGCAGTTGCAGGTTTGGAAGGTACTGTCTAAAGAGCTTTGGCGGTGGTGGGAGTGGATGTTTGTGCATTTGGTGCCAATCAAGGAGGCTGCTTTGTCCTGGATGGTGTCAAGCTTCTTCAGTATTGTCGTATCTGGACTCATCCAGGCAAATGGGGAGTATTCCATCACATTCCTGACTTGTGCCTTGTGGATGGTGGACAGATTCTGAGGAGTCAGGAGGTGAGTTACTTGCTCCAGTATTCTTAACCTCTGGTGTGTTCTTAGTGACTGTATTTATAGAGTCATACGGCTTGGAAACAGCCCCTTCAGTTCAACCACTCCATGCCGAACATAATCCCAAACTAAACAAGTCCCACCTGCCTGCTCCTGGCCCATATCCCTCCATTTATACCACCAGTCCAGTTCAGTTTCTGGTCAATGATAGCCCCAGGATATGGTTAGTGGGGAATTCAGTGATGGTAATGCCATTGAATATCATGGGACAATGGTTACATTCTATCTTACTGGAGATGGTCATTGCCTGGCATTTGTGTGGTGTGAAATGTTACTTTTCACTTTTCAGCACAAGCCTGGATATTATCCAAGTCTTCCTGCATTGAACATGGACATCAGTAGCTGAGGAGTTGTGAATGGTGCTAAACATTGTACATCCTTACTTCTAACCTTGTGATGTGAGGGTTGGTCGTTGATGAAGCAACTAAAGATGTTTGGGTGTGGGACATCACCCTGAGGAACTCATGCAAAGATGTCCTGAATGACTGACCTCCAACAACCACAACCATCTTCCACTGTGCCAGGTAGCACTCCAACCAGCAGAAAGTTTCCCCACTGACTCCAGTTTTGCCAAGGTTTCTTGATGTCAGTCATTCAAATGTAGCCTTGATATCAAGGGCTGTCACTCTCACTTCGCCTCTGGAATTTAGTTCTTTTGTCCATGATTGAACCAAGGCTATAATGTGGTCAGGAGTAACTGGCCCTGGTGGAACCCAAATGGGCATCAGTGAGCAGATGCTGCTTGATAGCACCGTCGATGACACCTTCATAACTTTACTAATGATCAAGGGTTAACTGATGGGGTGATAATTGGCCAGGATGGAACTGACCTGCTTTTTGTGGATTGGACATACCTGGGCAATCATCTATATTGTCAGGTAGATGTCAGTATTGTAGCTGTACTGGAACAGCTTGAGGTAAGGGTGCAGCAAGTTCTGGAGCATGCCTTCAGTCCTATTACCAGAATGTAGCCTTTTTGCAGTATGCAGTGCCTCCAACCATTTCTTGTTGTCACATGGAGGGAGATGAATTGGCTGAAGACTGGCATCTCTGTGATGCTGGAGACCTGCAGATGAGGCCTGTACCTGAGGAATTAAAAGCTAATTCTTGATCTCCTTGAAAACAAGAAACCTCTTTAATTTCTACTGCAGGACCAAGTGCTTCCAGATGAAAGAAATATGAAAATTAAAGAATCGCAGAGGCTCACTAAACAATCCTTGCACATTAGTTGATGAACACAGCATGCGTATTGGTGACATGGTCCCTTACCTCTCATCATTTATTACACCAAGTGCTGGATCCACTGATAAAATCCCATAAACCTCCAGCACGTCATTTACTTTGAAATTATCCCAGTCCTCATAGATCTATCAAAGAGAAGAATAAAATATTAATGTACAAGCAGTCTGAATCAAATAATTATCAAACAAGAATTGGGTAAATACAAGAGGAAAGATGTACCACACTTTGAAGCAAGAGCGGTGGAAGATAAATTGGACAGCCCTTTCAGAGAGCTGTCTCAGGCATGATGGGCTAAATAACTTCTTTCTGTGTTGATTCACTCTACAATGTAAGAGATGCAACCACAACATGAACAGGTATTTGCTTTATTGAAAGTGGTGATCGTGGCACTTATGCATGAAGGAAGCTAGTCAGTTGTTTTACCTATCATAGTGGAATGGTTTGAAAAATTAGTTACAGCAAGTGTATTTTAATTTGTTAAATCATTTAACTCATGAGAATATTAATAATAAGAAGCTTTTGGATAAAGTAAACTCTCCCGTTAAGATTCTGCATTCAGTTTCTTCAAATTCACTTGGCAGGATATTTGCAGTGAAAGATCTCTGTAGCAACTTGGTGAGTTCCAAAAGATCAAGCATTAGCAAAGCTTAACATCTTGTCAGGCACAAAGAAGTTTTCAGCATGTAAGTGCGTTGGAGAAAAATAAAAAAAATCTTAAGAAGACAAAGAGGTTTTACTTTCTTCTAATTGGTCAAGACACAAAATGGAAGCTCTGGAAATTACAACGTACATGCAATTACAGCTGCCACCACACTGTATTAAAATTTAATTGCAGCAATCAGCCTGACAATATTTAATTGAAATGCCCAACTTATGCACAAAAAATATGTAATTTTTGCCTTGTAACCAGTTCTATGATGATTAAATACTAAACAGATAAACTTTCAACATCTATTTTATATTATTTGAAAATTACATCATTGAAATCAATCACTACACTTAGTAATGTTATCCACTAAGTGCACAGACATGATGCAGTTCATCCTTCAGAAACACATTACTACCTTAACAAGACATGCAGGGCCTTTCTCCCCAGGTAATGGGAAGTTGAGATCAATTGATGTAGTGCAGTTAGGCAAATTCTGGTGTGCACCTGGTGCTTCCTTTTCAAGGCGCTTAGCATCGCCACAGGCTTGTGATCCACTGCAGCCAGCACCTGGTATACAAGTGGAAAAAAAAACAGGATCATACCTTCCCTTTGGTTGACTTCTAACCTTAATTAGGAACAAGTGAAGTTTCAAAATGATCATCTTATTAGCCACTTGTGAACGTAAAGTGTGAACACAACATAGTATGGCATTTTACCAATTCACAAGAGATCAGATTTACTTCAAGTCACAGTCATACTGATTACTCCCACATGTTTTATAACACAAGTTGAGTTAGACTTTTTTTTGTACTAGGAGGGAGAGAGATGGGTTGGGATGTAATTTCCACACTTGAAATGCATCTAGAAAAATATCTTAAATATCTTGAAAAATAGTGGGGTAAAAAATATCCTTTCAAGTATGATCCTTTTCTGATTACTGCTTTGAGATATAACAGCAGTTTGGGAAAATCCTATGTTGTGACTGGTGGCAAGGGAGCTCTCTCATTCAATTACAGTCTCTTCAAGAAACAAGCAAGAGTGCAACATTACCGCGTGTTACCGTAAGTTGCACTGTAGAATAAACTGTAGTATCCTGTAGAATCAGGATTTAGACTGTTCCCATTTCTGCAGTACTTGTTAGCGAACTCAACTAAGAAGTATAATATTGCTGAATGTATGCCCCTACCTGAACATTGCTCCTTTAATTTGTGAGGATGCATTTCCATGTCTTCATCCTCCTCATAACTCCTTTTGTGTCGACTTGGAGTATAGGACGTAGAAGGGTTACCACGTGCTTGACTGGCACTGGCATAGGCGTATGAAGACAATTTAAGGAAAACAGAGCTACTTGGTTAGATTGCTCAGTTAAATTGCTTTCATTTATTTATTCTGATGAAAAGCATTTCAGGATTAAGCTAAAGCAACAAATGTTATCAAAAGGATATTTCTTTGACCCATTCTGACTCTCCAGGCACTGGAATGCAGTAAAATGTCTGTCTCTCCAGTGTGACACATTTGGCAGAGTTTAAGGCAACCTCTTGTTGGAGCTGGGGAGAAATATAAATTATGTAACACATGCCAACAAAATTCCGTCATCATACCCCAACCCAATATTCCACTCAATACAAATGCTAAAAGGTAACATACTGCAACAATTTTAACTTAAAGAGGAGCTGTATTTCCATATATGGTATTTGCTAGTGACATCATTGCAAATGAAGAATTTTGGTTAAACTGACTGTTGCAATTGGTTTTAGCAGCTCTGAAATCTATTAGCCTGCTGGAAGATACACACTTGAACACCATGCGAGATATGGATCAAACTGAGCTATGAAACCTCAAATAACCTGCTCACACCCACCAGCAATGTTCACAATTGAACAACAGAACACTAGGCTGAAATGTGCATATCAGCAAAATATCTTCAGGAATGCAATGGAAATGACACAATATGTGAAGGTCTTAAACGTTCCTTTTTCACAGTGAGTATGTACCAATTGAGCCAACATGTTAAGTATTTGTATTTACAATGGTAGTCATTTACAAACAAGAGCCGAAAGGAGGTGGAAAGAGTACTTTTAGAAAGTAAAGGGAATAGAACAATACAAGTGAGCAACAAACATTCGTAAAAAAAGTCTGTGACCATTGATAATGAAAGGGATTTCAGCATTTTTAAAAAAAATTGAAAATGTCCTTGTCTTCAGCATTCAGTCACCTTTACATATAACGCTAGCTCCATCTACTGTTATAAAGTAGCTGTGCACCTAGCCATTTTACAGCACGTCTCCATAATTGAGAAGATCGTTGTAGATGTTACTGTTTCATCAATCTTACATTAGCTAAAACATTCTGTTTCTAGGACAGCAGTTGTTTGTTCCAAGGCTAACTCGCCCATTAATTGTATTGAGAAGTTACAAACGCTAAATCGGTGGAATTTGGTGCTCAATATGCAATTGCCTCAATGAACAGGAAAAGTTTTAAATACAACTACTTACTCCACACTCAGCAACATCTTTATATTTTCCAAAACGTAGAACCTATCAAAAAACAATTTAACAATTTGAAATCTTTCAATGCTGGAGAAATATTAAAAACTAATTGGAAAAGAAAGCATATACTATACAATACAATGTAGAGATGCACATGCAGTCACAGTCAGCCAAAAAGCCAAATGATAAGCGTGTATGGATCAAATACAGTTCAATTAAACAAGCGAGTTTCCAGTATTGTTTAGGACAATTTTTTTTTGCTGGGGTGCTTCAGTGCATATAAGTGTAAGCTGAATCTATTAAAATTTTCAGAATATAATCCAGTAACAGTCCAGGAATGATGCAACCAGGGTTTTCCATTTTGGATTAACTCACAAAGGAGGTTTATACTAAGATGATGCTTCAGCTCATCTGATCTCACCATTCCAGAATTTCACCTCTCCATTCCTGCATCTTAGCATCCAGTGATTTCTTTAAAAAGCCTTGACTACCCATTCTCGTAATCCACTCCAGCTAGTCATCACCCTCTGCATAAAGAATCCTTTCTGAAGTCTGTCTTAAGTATGCTCATCACTATCCTAAGGCCCTGCCCTTTTGGCCTGGTATCCTAGCACATAAAGGAGCATAATTTCAGGTTTATCACCTCCACACCAATTACTATTAAATGACATTTTGTACAGATATTTAAAGTGTCGAAGGCAAAGAACAATTCTGCTTGAAAGAAAACTGTTCCATTTTTTACAATCCAAAATCTCCAGGAGTCAGCCAATTAACTGAAGGCAAATATTGGTGAGCAATGATATCAAGTCCTAAAAACTTTGGCCCAATTCGCCAGATTTACGCATGGAGATTATACTCGATGATTACCTGGGAGGTAGGGAAATGCTCAATAGAGAATAGATGGGCTGAAGATAGCCACTGATGCAAACTCACACAGCTTGAAGATGTATCAAAGTCTGAATCCCTTCAAAGTTGTAAACTAAATGATCAAATTTAAAGAATTCAGACTGGCAATCGAAAGTCTCTCATTGTAATATAACAGTTTTTTGGGGGGTGGGGTTGAAGATAGGAATGTATTGATGGCAACTATCAACTGGGTAAGTTTCAGAGTATTAGAGATTATTGTTAATCCATATGATCCATGCCGGAATTGGTACCTTCACTGATCTGGCTTCCCAAATTGAAGTGTTCCAAGCACCCCAGCAAACCCAGCTCCTGTGTGCTATTAAACCGATATTCTATTACTGTGAAGAATAGGAAGTGGTTATGGTTTTAAACTTCATGGTTGAACATATTAATCCCTAAAAAAAAAGAACAAATAGATACTATCAAATTAAAATTGGAAATCTTGTTTTTGAACTTTGAATTCACATTTAATGGTTCTGTAAAAATCTTTGCCTTAATAGGTTCTACTCAACTTCTTACTCAAGATAGCATAACACATCAAGATCAAACATCTGCGCCACATAAATAAACCATAAGACTTTCTTCCTGTAAAGGAAACCCTCTTTCAACCAAAAGGACGGAAGAAGAAAAGTATTCGAAACATTCACATTCTTTGCAGTCTCATCCCAAATAGCAAGGAGTGGAAAATCTAATATAATTGGCGAAAAATGTATGTGGAGCAGAAATCGTAAAGCCTTGGTAATTTATGAGAGGAAAGCTGCTGATCAGCTAAGTTATATCCTACTACTTGACAATATGATTAGCCACAGAATTGCTAGTGTAGCAGCAGACAATGAAGAGCAGCTCAGCAAAACAAAGAGAAAAAGCCCCTTTTTTGCACCAGTGCAACACAAGATGGTTTTCATTCAATATAATCACTTGTTCGAGGTCAAAAAGAACTGTTAATTTTGCTGCTCTGGACCATTTACAACCTCTGGACAGGAACGGTTCAAAATCTTAAGACTGGTACATGATACATTCACATCAAAAATCATTGAGCACTCAGTCAAAATTTATGATGATGCAGAACTGGATGTGATAAATTTAATGCTCAGCAAACTGTTGCACTACACTGCTTATGCATTTCTGTTGCATATACAGAAGACATGTCCTACAAAAGCAACAGCAAACAAACTGTCAGAGGTACTAACTCTGGCCATCAGTCTGTCGAATGACAAAATCTCAATCACTTCATATCATATCTTTTCTCAGTGGTCTGTGAGGAGACCAGAATGAGGGGAAAATACAACCAAAAATGTGCATGTGTATTGTATAAAACATGATATTTGTCAAGTCCAAAATATATATGAGCTTTGGATGAGGATTGAAACTCAATTTAGAGCTAGAGAATACAGATGATTTATGCACTTTAGACCATTTCCCTCCATTTCTCAAAAACAAGATTCCAATTGATTATAGAAAGTACAAAATTTTAGTGTGAGGCAACATTTACACTAATTCTATACTTAAAGAACTTTTTATTTTCAACTGTGAAGGAAAGTCTACATAGGCCAGTCCAACTATGGTGACCTGTAAAAGGTTAAAACAGACATCATAAAAAAAGAAACTAATGGCCAGTGATACTAGAGATTATCAATTACATTATTCCTCTGGTAAGTAAACAACCTGTTCAGTCAATTCTCAAACTCCGTCTTAAGGCAAAACATCACTTCATTTACTTTAGACCACATGTGACCAAAAGGTAAACAAACAGTTTGGAAGTATGTCTTCAAAAGCCTTGTAGGGCTCAAACTAACAAAGTATGTCCTATGATGCTGCTTGGCCTGCTGTGTTCATCCAGCCCTGCACCTTGTTGTCTCGGATTCTCCAGCATCTGCAGTTCCTACTATCTCTGAAAGTATGTCAACATTTTGTTTTTAAAATAAAACTTGCACAATCATAATGTTTATTATGACACAGAAGTCAAAGGCATGTGAAATTTACCAGGTGGGCAAAAGCAGGCATATGCTTTAAGGCTCAGGGGACCAAGAACAATATCTGATCACAATGGAAACTGAAAATTCCAGACTATCATCATAATATTTTGCAATGTGCTTTTAGCTGCAAGTACAGGCTATGCATGAAAAACATTCCACAGCAGCTCTTTTACTTCCAAGTTAGAAAATTCACAAAAATTTTAATGTTAACATAATAACGTTCTCGTGAAATCTCAATAAGTGAAATTTGAGAAAGTTGACTCAATTGGTAATGGAGACATGGCCTGGCTTAATGGTCATCATTGATTATATTACATTTAAGAGTTGTCTCAATGCATCATTTCCACATGTAAAATACTTACTCTAGATTTGGCAGATGTCTCCACAGTTTCATAAATTCCCATATAAAACTCTGGATCAAACATATCCTGGATCATACAGCGGAATTTGACCAAACTATTTGGCTTCAAGTAATGCAGTGGAACATCATTCAAGGAGGGCACCTATGGGAGAAATTGTACTTCAATCAAATCATTCATAAGGAATCCCATGTTAGCCATCAAAGTAAAAGCATTTCTCATTCACTAATTTTCATGCAAATCATGAGCCTTTGGAATTAAGAAGTTACAAGACTCTCCTAAGTAGGGGACACAGCTCTTTCTGTGTACCTGTTCTACTCCACTGTACCTTAAATTTAATCAGCACAAAACTAACTCTGCTGCTGACAACGTAACGCTCAAACATTAAGGCGAAATGCATTCAATGCCTTCTAATGCGACCAATGTGAATATAAAGCGGTATGAAATTTCCTTTGTTAAAATGGTCTTATTCCAGTAGCCCAAGTGTGATTCAGCTGATTTCATTGGAAGATTTCACTTCAGTTATACAGTCCTGGTTAGATTACATCTAAAGAATTGTGAACAGTTCTAGGCACCCCACCACTGGAGGGATATTTTGCTGGGCAGGGAGTGAATGCTCCTTTACCAGAAAGATACTTGGACTCCAAAGATTAAACTATGAAGTGAAGTTACAACAGCCAGTGTTAACTCGCTGGATTTTTGATTTGATCAAAATTTTAAAGATATTAAGTGTAACAGATTAAGTTGGCAGAGAGAAACTCGTTCTGCTGGTTGGGGAGTCTAGGAGACACAGCCAGATTTTTCAGGAGTGAAGTTTGGATGCAGTGAAACACTAAAAAGGATGGTAGAAATCCTTGCTGGTAAGGCCAGCATTTATCATCAGTCCTTAATTGCCTTCAAGAAGGTATTAGTGAGAAACCTTCTTGAGACACTGCAGTCCCTTTGGTGCAGATGGATCCCCAGTGATATGAGCAAAGGAGTTCCATGATTTTGAACCAATATGTTTCCAAGTCAGAAAGCTGTGTGGCTTGGAGGAAAATGTGCAGGTGGTGCCGTTTGTATGCATCTGCTGCCCTTATTCTTCTTGGTGGTCACACATTTGGAATGCGCTGTTGAAGGAGCCATTGCCGCAGTGCATTTTTGGATGGTACACACTGCTTCCATTTTGTACTAGCAGTGAATGAGACGTACACATAAGGTAGTGGATGTTGTACCAAAGTTAACAATAGGATATGATATTAAGGGACATGGGGCAAAATCAGGTATCTGGAGTTCAGTTACAGATGAGCCAATGATCTCACCGAATGGCAGAGCAGGTTTGAAGATGAAGTGATCTACTCCTCTATGTGTTCCTAAACAGCCTCTATCAAAAAGATAAAACCACTTTGCCCAATGTAAACGATCGTTAAGCTACATCAACAATAAACAGAAATTAAGTGTTTTAAATATTGTTTCAAAACACATTTTAGGGATGCACGCTATAGTACTAAGTAAATGTCAGATATGGAAAACATTTACTCACACGATCAAACAAAAATAACAGTCCAAATTATATGTTACAAATAACATTAATGGCAACAACACTAACTATTGTGTAAACTGCACAGCAACTTGTGGCAACCAAGCATGAAAATCAGGAATCGAAACCGAAAGAACTGCGGATGCTGTAAATCAGGAACAAAAACAAAGTTGCTGGAAACGCTCAGCAGGTCAGGCAGCATCTGTGAAGAAAAAAATCAGAGTTAACGTTTGGGTCCAGTGACCCTTCCTCAAAATCAGGAAGCTGTAGCATTTTTCCAGAAGTTGCACCGTGCCAGTAGTGCACTGATAAATGAATCACTCAATTACATGGAGTGCAAGAAGTAGGGAGACTAGCAGGATATACTAACACTAAACTTGTTGGGGCTTGTCTATTCAATGCAAGTGAATATTTAGTATGGGAAGCTTAAGTTACTACTAAACAATCTCTCCACTCAATTAATTGTTAGAAGTGTGGAATTTCTCATTACTTCAGGTTTTAATTATTGTTGGGAACATTAGAAAAATAAAAGTTTGTTTCAAATGTCGTAAATTGATATTTCTCTTCCTTAATCCCATGTTTCTCTCCTTTTAATTTCACTTTCTGTACGTGATAATGATATTTAATTAAATATTCTAACTAATACTTCCTGCTTCAGAAGCCGCATGAGTCAGTTAGCATTGCTCAGTTAAGACAATACACTATTGCCACCCTGGTCACACAGATCCCGGGTCCACGAAGACGGTGTTGTGAAGTGGATTTCTAATCACCACAAGCTCCAGTGAAAAAATCCACATAAAGGTTTTGAGTAAGTGCAAGGTATTTCGTAAGTGACCACAAATTCCCAGCTATTATTTGAATTGCACAAGAAAAATATTCGAACGAATGTTAACCCTTGTCTAATATTTGGCATTAGGTAGCTTGAATCAAGTTGGTAAAATAGTCAACGCTTCAGGGAGCGGAAGGAGAGTTTTCAAATCTGAGGTTTTTTTCCCTATTCGTTTGTGGGACGTGGGCATCACTGGCTGGCCAGTGCTTCTTGCCTATCCCTAATTGCCCTTGAGAAGGTGGTGGTGAGCTGCTTTCTTGAAACGCTGCAGTCCACCTGCTGTCGGTTGACCCACAATGCCATTAGAGAGGGAATTCCAGCATTTTGACCCAGCAACAGTGAAGGAACAGGGATATATTTCCAAGTCAGGATGGTGAGGGGCTTGGAGGGGAATTTGAAGGTGGTGGTGTTTCCTACGTCTGCTGCCACTGTCCTTCTCGTGGTCGTGGGTCTGGAGATCTGTCTAAGGATCTTTGGTGAATTTCTGCAGTGCATCTTGTAGATAGTACCCACTGCTGCTACTGAGCGTTGGTGGTGGAGGGAGTGGATGCACTGCTAATCAAGCAGGCTGCTTTGTCCTGGAGCTTCTTCGTCCTGGTGCTTCTTCAGTATGGTTGGGGCTGCACTCAGCCAGGCAAGTGGGGAGTATTCCATCACACTCCTGATTTATGCTTTGTGGACAGGCTTTGAGGAGTCAGGAGGTGAGTTACTCGCCACAGTATTCCTAACTTCTGACTGGCTCTTGTAGCCACTGTGTTTGAGTGGTGAGTCCAGTTAAGTTTCTGATCAATGATAACCCCCAGGATGTTGATGGTGCAGGATTCAGTGATGGTAACACCACTGAATATCAAGGGGTGGTGGTTAGATTGTCTCTTATTGGTGATGGTCATAGCCTGACATTTGTGTGGTGCAAATGTCACTTGCCACTTATCAGCCCAAGCCTGGATATTGTCCAGATCTTGTTGCATTTGAACATGGAGTGCTTCAGTATCTGAGGAGTCACGTGCGGTGCTGAACATTGTACAATCATCGACGAACATCCCCACTTCTGACCTTATCATAGAGGGAAGGTCATTGATGAAGCATCTGAAGATGGTTGGGCCGAGGACACTACCCTGAGGAACTCGTGCAGAGATGTCCTGGAGCTGAGATGATTGACCTCCAACAACCACGACTATCTTCCTATGTGTCAGGTATGACTCCAAACACCAGAGAGTTTGTCCCCAATACCCATTGATTCCAGTTTTGCCAGGGCTCCTTGATGCCACACTCGGTCAAATGCGGCCTTGATGTCAAGGGCTGTCACTCTCGCCTCACCTCTGGAATTCAGCTCCTTTGTTCATGTTTGAACCAAGGCTGTAATGATGTCAGGAGCAGGATGGCCCTGGAGGAACACAAACTGGGCATCACTGAGCGAGTTATTGCTGAGCAGGTGCTGCTTGATAGCACTGATGACACCTTCCATCACTTTACTGATGATAGAGAGTAGACCGATGGGGCAGTAATTGGCCAGGTTGTATTGTCCTGCTTTTTGTGTACAGGTCATATTTGGGCAACTTTCCACATTGCCAGGTAAATACCAGTGTTGTAACTGTACTGTAACAGCTTGGTTAAGGGAGCGGCAAGTTCTGGAGCACAAGTCTTCAGTACTATTGCTGGAATATTATCAGGGCCGTTAGCCTTTGCAGTATCCAGTGTCTCCAACTGTCTCTTGATATGACGTGGAGTGAATCGAATTGGCTGAAGACTGGCATCTGTAATGCTGGGGACTGCTGGAGGAGGCCGAGATGGATCATCCACTCGGCACTTCTGGCTGAAGATTGCTGCCAATGCTTCAGCCTTATCTTTTGCACTAAGTGCTGGGCTCTTCCATCACTGAGGATGGGGATACTTATGGAGCCTCCTTCTCCAGTGAGTTGTTTAATTGTCCACCACCATTCACGACTAGATGTTGCAGAAATGCAGAGCTTACATCTGATCTGTTGGTTGTGGGATCACTTAACTCTGTCTATCACTTAGAGATAGTAAGAACTGCCGATGTTGGAGTCAGAGGTAATGCAGTATTGGAGGAACACAGCAGGCCAGGCAGCATCAGAGGAGTAGGAAAGTTGACGTTTCGGGTCCACACTGTGTTATCTCTGTCTATCACTTCCTGCTTTTGCTGTTTAGCATGCAAGTAGTCCTGTTTGGTGGCTTCACCGGGTTGACACCTCAGCTTCAGGTATGCCTGCTGCTGCTCCTGGCATGCCCTCCTGCACTCTCCATTGAACCAGGATTGATCCAGTGGCTTGATGGTAATGGTTGAGTGGGGGATATGCCAGGCCATGAGGTTACAGATTGCACTGGAGTACAATTCTGCTGCTGTTGATGGTCCACAGCGCCTCATGGATGCCCGGTCTTGAGTTGCTGGATCTGTGTGAAGTCTGTCCCATTTAGCATGGTCACAGTGCCACACAACGCAATGGAGGTTATTGTCAATGTGAAGGCAGGACTTTGTCTCCACAAGGAGTGTGCGACAGTCACTGGTATTGATACTGTCATGGATAGATTTATCTGCAGCTGGCAGATTGGCAAGTAGGAGGTCTAGTATGTTGTTCCCTCACCACCTTCTGCAGACCCAGTCTAGCAGCTATGTCCTTTAGGACCCCACCAGCTCAAACTTAGTACTGCTGCCGAGCCACTCTTGGGTGGGAGATTTCAATGTCTACCACGAGAGTACATTTTGTGTCCTTGCCAGCCTCAGTGCTTCCTCAAAGTGTTGTTCAGCATGGAGGAGTACTGATTCATCAGCTGCGGGAGGACGGTATGTGGTAATCAGCATGAGTTAAGCAATTCAGAAAGAAAAGAATGCTAACAACTTCTAAAATGTTTTAACCTAAATTGGAGTCTAAATCACAAGTGACACTGTGGCAAAGACTAAAAGGAAAGTACTTGTGGAATTTTTTTGTCACAAAATCATAGATTTTTGTCTTGAAAGAAAGTTACAGTTATTAAACAGTGAAATACATCACTGGTTGTCTAACTCTGTCTGGTCAATGTAATTAATGGAGTACTGGAAGCAACACTACGTTTTTAAGAAAAACCACAGGTTTCCAAAATTGGTGTCAATAATGACAGTTGTGCCACCTGCACCATTTTTCTAATCCTGACTTATTTTGTATTTATTTGCTCCTACAATTGTGTTACTATGGCACAGAACTCAATGTTTTGAGGCAAGACTAGAGGTTTTGCTAGACATTTGTGAAAACAAATAAACAACTTTGTTAACAATAATTCCCAATATTTTGAAATGGTTTTAATTCCTCACAATTACAAACAAAGCTTCATTTATACTGCCATTGTGTTTAAACCAAACTATATAATCAAAACCATATTTATATAATCACCTACCCAACTTGATGCAGTCGTCTCTTTTAGCTTTTCTCTGAAATATTCAATCACTTTTTTCTCCCATTCACCACCGGCACCATTCTGAACTGCAAAAGTAAAAAATTCAATCAAACCCCATATTTGAAAAACATTTCCACACCCACAGTTTGATTTTCGTAGGTTAAGTGGTTGGTGAGGTGAGTCAGAGCTGCTGGCACATGATTTATAGAGCACCCAGACGTAAAAATGTCACATGGCCCTTCAGAAACATCACCAGGCAAAAAGACAAACAGAAACTTCTGGAAAGCAAGAGCTTTTCAGGGAGGGGGGTACCAAACATAAGTTTTAAGTAAAAAGTGGAAAGGAATTGAGATTCAGGGAGTGTGACCTACAGACCATAAAGCATGGCCACCAATGGGAGTTAGGAGGATGGAGAGTTTAGGGATGAGAAGGGAAAACCACAAAGATATTAAAACATAAAGGTGGAAATGTTGAATGGAAAATAATATGGGACTGAGCAGCAAAACAGGAACAGGGACCAACTGTGGAATATGATTTGCACAGCAAAGATTTTGGTGATCTTATACCAGGGAGGGAGGGCCATGAGAGTGATGTTAAGACATGACTGAGAGAGTTTCAACAGCATATAAGTTGAAGGACAGGTGATGGTAAAGAATGTAGGGATCTTTTTGATGGAATGATTGTAGAGATTTGAAATTCATCTAGGGTTTACATAAGACTTGAAGGTTGCAAACAGCACAATTCAAATCGACAATGCTCAAATGCATTATCAATCCCCAAGACCTTTGAAACAATTACCCTGGAGTGTAAGAAGTCACCAAGGACTGGCTCCCATGCTGATGTTCAAAGAGCTCTTAATATATATTAGCTAAATTTCCACAACTCGAGGTTTCAGGAAGGCAGGATTCTCATTCCCCAATAGACCCTTGAATATAGCTCCTCATAACTACTCTCCAGACTCTGCAAGGGTGCACTGGACCAAACAATTGTACTGATGGAGATAACATTGTCACTTCTATTGAATGATTTGTCCCACATACACAGCTGTTTCCCAATCACTGGGTCCTGACAGTCCAGGTGAGATGCAACAAAACCAGCAGAGAACCTTGAAGACACTAAAGCATTCAGATATTTTCCAGAACAGTGTAAACCAAGAATGTGACACTAAACTACACAAGTCAATATTAAAGCAGGTGACCAAAAACTTAGGCAGGCAGGTTTTTGTACAGATGCCAAAAGCACAGCAACTAATAATCATGAATAAGTAAGAGACTAGAATTCAACTAGCATGGATATCTGATGAATAAACAGGATTTGGTGCAAGAAATGAAATGGATAAAGGTATTTGAATGACCTCAACTTTATGGAAACTAAGACGTATGCGGCTGACCAGAATTAGGTTGGAATTGTCAAGACTGGAAGTACTAAAGGCATGGATGAGGGTTTCAGCAACAATGCACTGAGACAGATCAATCAGGCAATGTCACAGAGGTAAAAATAAAACTATTACAGTGATAACTTCCACGTGTGGTGAGAAGCTCATCTTGTGGTCAAATTTGAGACCAAGGTTGCAAACATACTGGGTAATCCTCAGATGGTAAATAAAAACCGAAAAAAAAACTACAGATGCTGTAAATCAGGAAAACAAAGTTGCTGGAAAAGGTCAGCAGGTCTAGCAGCATCTGTGAAAAAAAAACGGTTAATGTTTCGGGTCCAGTGAGGAACGGTCACCAGACCCGAAACGTTAACTCTGTTTTTTACCTTCACAGATGCTGCCAGACCTGCTGAGCTTTTCTAGCAACTTTGTTTTTAACCCTCAGATGGTTACCAGGTGAGGAACGGAGTGGGTGAAAACCAAAGATCATGGTTTGGTGTCCCTAAAATTTAATTGGAGGAAATGTCTATTCATCCAGTACTGAATATCAAGCAAGGTACTTTATACATAAAAAAGTTACAGACCTCAGGACAAACTGGTCCTCTTACAACTTCTTTAGTATTATCACAGTATGAATCACAGAAGGTAGGTCTGCAGGTACAACAAGTAATTAGGAAGGCAAATGGAATTTTGTCCTTCATTGCTAAAAGGATTGAAATAAAAAGCAGAGAGGTTATGTTGCAGCTGTACAAGGTGCTGGTGAGGCCACACCTGGAGTACTGTGTGCAGTTTTGGTCTCCTTACTTGAGAAAGGATGTATTGGCACTGGAGGGGGTGCAAAGGAGGTTCACTAGGTTGATTCCGGAGTTGAGGGGGTTGGCTTATGAGGAGAGACTGCGTAGATTGGGATTATATTCATTGGAATTCAGAAGATTGAGGGGGGGATCTTATAGAAACATATAAAATTATGAAGGGAATAGATAAGATAGAAGTAGATGTTTCCACTGGCAGGTGAAGCTAGGACAAGAGGGCATAGCCTCAAGATTAGAGGGAGCAGATTTAGGACTGAATTGAGAAGGAATTTCTTCACCCAGAGGGTTGTTAATCTATGGAATTCCTTGCCCAGTGAAGTAGTTGACGCTACTTCAGTAAACGTTTCTAAAAGAAAGGTAGATTTTTTTTGAACAATAAAGGAATTAAGGGATACGGCGAGAACGCGGGTAAGTGGATCTGAGTCCACGAAAAGATCAGCCATGATCTTATTGAATGGCGGAGCAGGCTCGAAGGGCCAGACGGCCTACTCCTGCTCCTCGTTCTTATGTTCTTATCACTTGTATCAGCTCTGATCACTGATCTACAACGGCTTTCTGTTAAACAACACACATCCTCATTTTCAAATTTCTCTGTGACCTCTCCCATTCCTACTAGTTTAATGTCCAGCCCCACAACTGTCAAATAGCCATGCTAATCAAATTCTAGTCCATGGCATCAGCTGCTGGCATCTGTGGAAAAGCCCGCCTCCTTAAGCTGACCAGTTCTGCAAACAATACATGCACAACTTATGAATCACGACACATAACATTGCTTATACTTCCATTATTAAATGTTTCTTCAATGTTCCAAAATAATCATTTAACTATTCAAACAATTAAAAGTTCAGAAACATATTCAACAAAGATTTATTTTATTAAGGCCACTCAACAGACTCACTTTAGTAGAAACTACAATGTGAGATCTAACAGTAACAAAAACAGATAGATATCAGTCAGGAAGCACAGGACTTGTCAAAAGTCCAATGCCAGACTATATTCATCATAACGATCTTTCCAGGAGATTGGAAATTGGTTGGTTATGTTATTGGCAGGCATTAAATTAGTTATTTGGAATATATTCTATCATTTGCGTAAATCAACATGTATCCATCTACTGAAGGAAGTCCCCTACACGTGCACAAAAGAAATGAGCTACAGCATAAAACACGGCTAAATCTTCTGATAGTTCGATAACTTGCAATTTAAAGAAAATACATTGAACTATTTAGGAATACTGAAAAACGTAATGCCAGATTTCCATAACTGTCTCCACCCCCATGGAAATCAGCTTGGTCTTTGATCTTAAAGGCTTGTTCTCTAATTGTACAAAGCATATTATAAAGCCAATGGTTTTAAAAGTAGCTCACAGTTTAAATACTCTAACAAGCAATCAGCTTACAGAAAAGAATTGATTTGCTGAAGCCTTGCCTTTTGATCGGGGATTGATATAAATACTTAAGCTGTAAAGTTCAATTTTGTCTCCGAATTGAAGTTTAAAACCCTCTGTAAGAAAAAGAGGGTTGTGTGTGTGGTGGGGTGGGGGGAGGTGGTTGGTGGAAGGTTGAGGAGCTGCTGAGAGCAGAGCTGGGAGTGGGAGGCCTGCACAAACACAGCAATCGCGGACCAGGAAAGGAAGAACTTGCATATAAAAACAAAAATAAAGGCGATTAGGCAACAGAGGAGAAAGAAAGCAAACTCACCAAAAATACCCTGCACGGCACCTAGAGGGTCGTTGACCCAGTCGTCAACACACGGCATGTTGAGAACTTGCTGCGGGACAGGGGGAGGGGGGGCAGGGCGGGGGTTGGGGGGAGGGAAGAGACCGACAGCGATGGCGGGAAAACCGCGTCATTGACGCAGCCGCTGACCCCTGACTCGTTCTCACGCGGGCTGCGCCGTGACGTCGGAGGGCCGGTTTGACCTCTGACCCCCCGCGTCCTGCCCCGCCCCTCATCCGGCTCCGCGGAGCCGCTGGTTACGTGTCGGTGCCGGAGTAAAGATGGCCGACAGGAAAAGCGGCACCAACTTGCTTTTCTCCTCCGACACCGAGTTCAGTTTCCCGGTGCCTTTCATCCCTGTGAGTCAGGCACAGGCGGCGGACAGCAGCCTTCTCTCAGCGGGTGGGTGAATGAATGAGGCCCGCGGTTGTGTTTGAGAGGATGGCAGACAGACTCCCCGGCTCGGGGGGGGGGGGCGATGTCACTCCAGGGGCGACATCTGGGTCCTTGAATTTCATGTTGTTTGGTTGCGAGGGGTTTGGTGTCAGTGATTTGAAGTCTCATCGAGAAGTGTTCAGTTCAGCCGTCCACAGGGTTTGGATCCTTTTATCACCTTACACGGGGCGAGGAAGGAGGTTGTATCACTGAGCATTCTCTGGTTTGAGCCTGACGTGTACTGAAAGAAAATTGAGTGGTCCGATCCTAATAGCAGGTCTATCAAAAAGTCAGCAGTTAAAAATACGACTGATGTAACTTTAATCATTCGGGCTTAGACTCACTTGTGGTTTGTTTTGCTTGCCTGTTGTGTTTGTAGCCCAAGCTACTTTGTGGCGACCTGTGTAATGTGTATGGCATGTTTTTATTTTGTTGGAAATTAACATTCTGCAACTGTTTTTGTGTGATGCCAGATGCCGGAGTTGCTGTACTGGCAATTGTAGCTTAGTAGTAGAAGATTCGCCTCCTGAATCGAAGATTGAACATGTAAATCCCTCTCGGGGGACTTGAGCACAAAATGCAGTTTGATGTTTCAGTGCAGTACTGATTGCATCCTACACTAACAGTAGGTGCTATCTTTTCCGTGGAAAGATAAGCAGAGACTTCACCTACTCTCTTAGATGCATGTAGAAAATCCATAAAGAAAATCAAATAAGTTTTCACTGCCAATATTTATACTTCATCTAATACCAAGAATGAAACAGTTTTATTGTTATCAAATAGCTGCTTGTAGATCTTTCCATTCTCTATATTTACTCTGATATTTCCTACATTACAGCAACAATCCCTTTTGAAGGAGTTTAATTGACTATAAAGTATTTTTAAGTCTCCTGAGGTTGTGAGAAGTGCCACATGAATGCAAGACTTTCTATTAACATGTTTTATTTTGTGAGTGCACAGTGCAGATGAGCTGGATGTACACGCATTAGAACAATTGAAATTTGAGGCCAAGTTTTTATATTAAGGCTATCCTCAAACAGATGCACAAACAGTAAATTTGACTCCTAGAACTTTAGAATTTTACAGAAATGCCAAAATATGCTCAAATTGTGGAAAGGTGTTTAGGAAAGTTATTGATTTAACTGTAGATGATCATCCTTCTTTTGGTAAATTTTGAAGCCTTGCCCTTGCATGAAGTCATAGCATTAACATTTTCTCCTCTGGTAGGAATTAAAGTTTACTAGTAAAGCTACGTTTTTGATGTATGTGTTTTAAATAGATACTTTGTGATCCAGTTATCATAGTATTTTTGGTGTTTTTGAGCAGTAGAAGGCTCCATGTCAATTTTCGGTGAATTTTGCTTCTGGTAAAACATTGCAGCATTGAACTTAGAATTAAGTTTTAAATTTAAAACTTAATGTTCCCTTTTGCTGTTAGTATTTTTTTCTGTTGTGCATTTATTTGAATATTTAAATTATAAAAGACCTGAAATACCTGAGAATGTGACATTATATATAACTTCTAAAACATAGTAATTGTTCCTATTGGAAGCAAGCACAGCAGCCATTCTTTGCCAATACAGTTCCTTGAATGTTAAGGTGAAGAAGTGTAGTTAATCTGGGCTTTGGCTGTACTTGAAATATGAATATGGGCCACAACATCAAGATAACTTTGGTCATCCTTGAATATCATTATATATCTTTAATCTGAACAGTCAGCCAGGATCTTGGTTTTAATGGTTCATTGTATATTAGTAATGTTATTCATGTGTATTCATGAGCCATGTCTTTGTGTCATTTTGGACCTGTGCAATGCCAATGGTGGTAGTGATGGAAGTATAGGGAGCAATTAGTTTGAATTTAAAGAGAAGACACTTATTACGTAACACATTTTGCTTTTGGCATAGCAATGAGCTTAGTGATCTAATTCCCCAGATATGGACCCATTTTAAGCTTCAGTCTGTGCTTGAACCAGATTCCTTATGCCCTGAATAAGTATTGATGGGTGAGTGGTAGTGGGCAAATTTGACTCTATACTTGGAGGAAGAACACTAAGGCCAGTGTGTTAGTTCAGAAGTAGTCGCGACTCTTTGACATTAATTTGCATGTGAATGGACGAGCACTAACTTGCATGTGTCTTTAGTGGGTATCTACCTGTGTTGACCTCATAATATTCCAGATCTTTCAACATCAAGTCTCCAACTAAGATACTGTTGAAAGGAAGCTTGAGGAAGAGCAGGGCAGCTAAATAGCATCTTCTGGTTTTTATTTTTAACTGCATGTCCGGTCACTGGAAGTTGTTGTTGGATTTGCTTTTTGATAAAGTTAAGCACTTGATCATCTGGAATTTGCAGTAACAAGAATTATCATGCTATGATGTTTGTTATTTCTCAAATTGTATTTTGCATTCTCTTGAACTTACGACAATTGTGCTATTGCTGGAATATAGGCATCAATTTCATTTCACTGCGATTCTTTGTGAGCTTGCTTTTAGGTTGGTTGCGCTTGTGTTAATTTTATTGAATTTGTCATCAGTTGTTGCAGGGATCAACATCTTTGTTATGAAAACAACTTCTGAACTCAACACTATAAATAAATGTTATTGTTTTTGGATTTGTGTGACAATGATCTGTAGCTGAAATGTAAGAAGAAGCTGAAAGCAGATGTAATCTAAAGAAAATGCTGATGGAGGTATAGAGTATGTTTTCATTTGACTGTTGTAAACTTATGTATTTTCAGTTGAAAAAATGGCCAGAGACAGTTTCATTTTATGAACTTGCTTAAAAAGCAGAAAGATCTGTTTTGGTATGTGTGTTTTGCTGAAGGGGTGTTTGTAACTAACTTTTTTTAAATCAACTGGTTAGCTTTTAGACATACGTATCATAGTGCTGCTTTCAAGGAATGTTAACAATTTGATTCTGAAGTGTTAATAAAAAGGAATTCACTTTACACAAGCAGTTTCTTACCAAGGTTGTGGGATTAAAGTTACTTTTTAACAAAAATGCCTTGAAGCTGTTGAAGTGTTAGAATCAGTCACTTTGGGGGGGCGAAAAGCCAACAAAACTTTGTTTAAACTAAAATAAAACTTGTTTCCAATGTAATGTCAAATTGCAAGTGCTTTTACTTTGAAAGAGTTTCTTTGTTCGAGTTGTTAAACTTGCAGAATTAATGAGTTGAGTTGTACTGTTCCCATAAGAATTCATACATAATGATCCCATAATGTAGGAATTCTGTTTGTAAAGGGATTTCAGAGGTCCTCAAAAACTTATTCTTACACCCCACTTGCCAAATTTTCCAGCTACTTTTGTTTTCAGTTCTCATTATACAGTAGCATTAGGCTTAGAGACGTGGAAAATGGGGAACAAGTAAAGCTTTTGATCCATTAAGCCCACTTCACCATTCAGCATGATCACGGCAGGTCCACTATCTCAACGTTGTCTCCTTGCTGTCTCTCCGTATGCTTAGACACCTTTAGTCCCTGGAAATCTATCTTTCTTACCAAAATAATATTTAGTGACTTGCCCTTCACAGCCTTCTATGGTGGAGATTTCTACAGGTTGACCACCTATTGTGTAAAGAAATTTCTCCTCAGTTTGAAATGGCCTACTTCCTATCCTGAAAAATCCTTGTTTTGGAATCCCCAAAGCCATGGAAATATCATTCCTGCATCCAGTCTGCCTGCTTTGTCGGAAAGAAGTTGCATTGAGATGCCCCCTCATTCTAAACTCCAGAGAATACAGTCCCAATCATTCTTCTATGGTAAATGTATAAAAATGGTGGCCATGATTGTTTTGCCCAAATTAGTAAGTTTAGATTGATTCATACATTCATCCAACCAATTTCCTTAAAGTTTTGTAAAGACTGTACCTTTTTATATTTCGGCATTTTTAACTGTGGACTGAAATGGGAAAATGAATGTTTTTGTTCTTGGTTTTAAAACAAAGTTGCTGGAAAAGCTCAGCAGGTCTGGCAGCATCTGTGAAGGAAAAAACAGAGTTAACG